TTTGGTTGATGGGCCTTAAGATGAAAAATTACCCAAAGTTTAAGGAGCCGTCTGACAACTCATCCCGACTTTGTTTGTTTGTTAGTTTGTTCTTGTTGTTGTTTTTGTTTTTTGGTGTGCGTGTGCGTGTTTGTGTTTGTGTGTGTGTGTGTGTGTGTGTAAAGTCCAATCATATTACTGTCCACTGCATGGATTAGACAGGATAAAGTCGACCCGACTTTCGGGTTTGTTTTGGGGGCGGGGGGGGGGGGGATAAACCCGCCGGATACTGTCAGGCTGGTAACCTTTTTGTCAATGACTATTAAACATAGGGTGACTATAATTGGGACAGGCTGCCGGGCTTATTGCAGAATCTTACGAAAGTATTGAAGTAATAGGACAATCAAACTCCAGATTTCAGCATTCCTTGTCCCTTTCGGATTCATGGAACCGTGTCGGCTTTATTCCTCATTGTCATGTCTTATTAGAAACTGCCTCTGCTGCATTTCATCATACAATGTCTTTACGGAGGGTTTATCTCGGCCACATCGCCTAACCGAGGTTATGGAATCAAATCACTCCTTTACGTCTACTTACAAAATGCTCAAAACAGAACCAAGCTGATGTTATACATGTATAGCGAAACTTTGTATTTCGCAGTACACGTATAATAACAACTAACCCATTGCTTTGCATTCTCGCAAGCAATTACTTTGGGAAATTGTACCTATAACGCAAATTCAGTAGCCTTGTGAGTTACTTGATTGTGCAAACATGATAATGACGTATTACGTTATCTGAATATGATTTCTATTGGTATTGGAGTTGCCCTTGAGTTTATTTTTTGACAATGAATATGATCTTGTTTGCGACGTCACATTGCGACCGAGCTAGAAAATGTAACATTGTGTAATTTAATCGCACAGGCAAAATCGAAGTCTGCTCATCCCTTCTCAATAACAGAAATTTTTTGGTTAAGTTTCCCTTTTTTGGGACGGGTGGGGGAGAAGGGGGGGGCGGCGAAAATGATCAACATTACTCAGAGAGAGGCGTCCCCCGTCCCCTTTAATCACAAACTCTGCATTTGATAGTAAAGCCTCTATCGCCTCATATATAGTAGATCTTGTAAATATCAATAAAAATGGATTATCTGGCGGTGCAAGAACCTATCGTTTACAGCTCTTCTATATACAATATTACAACATTACGCAAGGAGGTGTAGCGAAAGGATATATTCTATTTGCGTATAGTGCAAGTCTGCAACTTACTTCCTTTGGCACTTCGAAGCCTAAATAATGTTTGTTTGTTTTGTTTTCATTTCTGCGTTTTCAAAATAGAACATAATCATGTACATAAAGTAATAATATTTTCTTCATTTTACATAATTATACATTTTTAAGTACATTAAATAAGATGCATACAAACACAAATATTTTTCAATGAAAATAGATGAATTACAGAAAAAGGCAGGAGACCGCCATCATGAGCGGTAAGCTTGAAATCGATGGCGTTGTAACCAGGCATTTGACCCTCCTACCGTGGTAAGGCGCCAAAGCATTCGTGATGTTACTTCCTACCGGGCACTCATTTACGCCGTATCAGGACAATAACCCCCCTGGACAATCGTCCCCTGGAAAATTACCACCTAAGGACGATAACCCCCCCCCCCCGTAAAAAAATGCCCCCAAGGACAACCACCCCCTCCCTGAGGACAATTATCCCCCCCCGGAAAATTACTCCGTGGACATTTACCCCCCCCCCCCGGTGGACGATTACCCTCCGAGGACAATATTTTTTTCCCCACCCCTGAAAATTATCCCCGTGGACATTTACCCCCCCCCCCCCCGGTGGATAATTTCCCTCCGAGGACAATATTATTTTCCCGTCCCTGAAAATTACCCCCTTGGACAATTACCCCCCCCCCCCAAAGGACAACCACGTGACCTGTTCGTCACTTATTTTAATAGCCAAAAGATGTCAAAAGCATGCGATAAATCATTAGAACCCTTTTTACAATCTTACATCAATCTGCTCAAGTTAGGCAAACCACTGAACGTGCAAACTGTAAATAAATTTTAATGTTCAGTATTCCTCACTTGCTCAAATGATCTCGCCGATCCCGTTGTTTCACCTCTTTAACCGGTGCAATGTGCAAATTGACTAAGTAAATATTACTAATTAAATAGTTTTACACGTTTATATGTTTACCTGTACTCGTCGATTAGTTTACCCTACCTCTTAATCCGCTGATACAGTGAGTTCTGTTAAGAGCATTAATTGCACTGCTTCAGTTCGCGTGGATTCAATAAAGAATATTTATACATTCGAAAACACACTTCTTAATTTCCTTTAGGTCATTATGAACCAGCGATTTATGGCACCCCTCCCGATATCTATTGATTTATTTAGAATGTATATATTTGTTTAATTTATAAATTTCCTATATTGTCTTTGGTTTTAAAGTCCGTTAACCTTGGCCGAGGCGTTTTCTACATTAAAAAAAGACCGTCAGTATGATATTTGGGATAAATATTTCACTCTAAGATCGAGTTTGTCCTTAATTTAATTTTGGGTTGACTTCACAGCTTCCAAATGTTAAATAGTGCATTTAAACTCTCAATCTAATAGTCGTTTGAAGTGATTTTTCCCTCTAAACCAAGCCGCGGCGCGCCGTTGCCACACCATTTCCTATCGTATTATCATTTTGGCTCGGTGTAAACAAATCAGAGGTAAAATATAAAAAAAGAAGCATGTTACAGGTTGAATATTGGTAATGGTTGTATATTAGGCTAAAAGGTGTTCCTAACAGTTCTCACTTTTAAAAGTAACTGTTTGATCTGCTTCAAAACGCATCAGTTCTTTGGATTTTACTCAAACTTGGCAGAATTCATCCCTAGGGGTAGGGGACCCAAAGTTTTTCAAATGGTTAAAACTGTGTACATATCAAAAGACTTCTCCAGATCCAAAACTTGAAACGTATGGTTTCCACATCTTTCGAGCCTCTTTTGTCCAAGTTACACCACCCATGCACGCACCGAGCGTACTACTGAAGTAATGCTACGGTCACAAAGATTCGTACGAACGATAATTTCGTACGAATCTCCCTGTTTTTCCATTGTCTTCCCGAATTTCCATTGTCTGAAAATCGTTCGTACGGCGTTCGTAGCAGTTCGTAATGGCATTTGTGACCGAGGCTTTAGGCACAGTAAATTACAAGATCTTTGGCCTGGATGGACGCCTCATATATTGTAATTCATACATGCCCATATTATGTACGTCATCACTCTCTTCCCCGTGTTCCCCGTTCTCTTCCAACCTTACTGTTTTGTATTCATCGTTTTACTTGATTTTGTCTTTGCCTAATGAAATGATGATAATAACAGTAATAATAAATAAAAACAAAGTTTTCTACATGCTGTATGCCAGCTGAAATCATTATTTTCACGTGTTATTACCTAAGGCGGCTGCTAGGTCAAAAGCATGCATCTTTCAAGAAGCCTGCACATTTAAAAAATGTTAAAAATAATCCCAATCCCCATATTGGGGAATGGGATTTTTTTTAAACGTTTTGAACCATCATTATACTTTCCAAAAGTTTACAGTTTCATGTAAGCCGCATTTCACATCAAGTCAATGTAATGCAAGGGGGAATGTAATCAATTTTAAAATCATTGTTTTCATGTGTTAACCAATTATGGCACTTGAATTTTTAAAGGCGAAAGGAGGCATTTTAGTCCGAGGGATTTAAGCGGGATCTTTTCGACTTTTGAAACCTTTTCGGAGCCTTTATTAATATTTTCTACATTCTCGATTTTCATATAATGAACATTTTACATGATTTAAGGAAAATGATAGGGGAATTCTAAGCTAAATATCCTCGTTTTCTAGTGGTAGCCTATAGCAGATGACTGTGTCAAAAGCATGCATATAGTCCCTGTGATTTATGATGGCATTTATTGAAAATCAAGGTTTGAAACAAATGTTTTTTCGAACTCTCCTTCCTTGCTCGTGCAAAAATCAGACTTCGAAAAAGTTTGAATAAGCTATGAAATATCTAGGAAAAGGGGACACGTTTTAACGTGGTAACCTATAAGGCTAAATAATCGTTTCGAACTCGTTTCCTTCCCACAGCGATCACCGCTAGCCTTGTAGGTCGAGCGTACTAAAGAGAGACGGTTTTAATAGAAGCAAAAAATGAAAGTTTTGGGCAAATTCCGATTTAAAATAAGAAAGTTATGAATTTTCGAAGTTGCAATCTCTCTCTCTCTGTTGTTGTCCCTCCGCTTTTCGGAGATCAGCGAGTTTATCGCATTCGAAGTAGTACGTAGGCTGCTGTAAATGTGTTATAAAATCCTTAGTTGGAGGGTATGGAGTGCAGGTGATGGGCATGAATTTTGTAAAGATTGTGAAGTGTCATCTTTAAAATAGAATCATTGACAGTGGAGGGAAGGGATGGATCATATGGCAAGAGAATAGCGCAAGTCAGAAGGGAAGGGTCCTGGGTGTTGAGCAGTGGTGTATTTGGTGCAGAGTCGAGGACATTATGCAATCAATCGGAATTGGCAACACTTAACTCTAGGTAACTTTGAGGGTTCAAATCTTACGAATAGAAACGGGGTGACTATTTCGGGATATATAGGTTCCCGGGCTATCATTGACCGTTATAAAGTCCTTTCCACAACCAATGGCTGGCAAATTTATGTTCGGTTCAAGCCCCCCCCCCCCCCCCCCCCCCCCTCCGGAAACGGAGGGACCGCATGCGTGTTCAAGTCTTTAATGAATTCTATTTAAGTGCCAAACTAGAGTCTGTGCTTTTACAGACCATGTCAGGTTGAGGCGTGCATGGAAGATGCGCATTCATGCAGTCTATTCTTTGTGAAAAGACATTACGCAACGAAGCAGTGGAATGCTACTGATCTTATTCATAACTCTCTCCTCGACCAACGCCTTCTATTATATCCATTCAATAATCTGATACCTTTTCTTATATCACCCGTAACTCGGTTGATCGCTGCATATGGACTTTGTATAAGCCCATAACTGCTTTGGCTTTGCATTACGGTGGTGTGTCGTTTTTTTTTAAGAGACCGCAGTTTTCTCATTGCCGGTGGAGTTTTTCCTCTGGACATCATTGGAAGTGACTCCTTGGAGGCGACTCCAAGCACAATCTGATGATAGAAAATTCCTAGGAGAGTTTATGATTAAACATACATGTATAAAAATACTGCGAAATACTGCAAGCCAACATGTCCAGCGACCGAGGCCTAGGGCTTCTTAAAGGGCGGCACGGTCTCCTGTGTATTTTCTTTTCTTCCATGATTATTTCCACTCAACAGCATGGATATGGTGGTACTGGTAAATATCGTACAAATATTAGATAGTAGATCAACGAAGTGCGGTTCATAATCCGTTTGTGAGTGTAATAGTGAGGAATACATATATGTCATGTTATTGTAATAATTGCTTGAACCAGAAAATTACAGATAGCTGCAACTCTAGTAAACGGTAAGTTTGTGTCAAAATTATCTGCCTCTAGATTCAACAGTAACATGATTGGCAACACTGTTCCCAGATAATCCTATATCTAATTGTCATTTTGTTTAAAATAATAATTATGTGTCCCCATTAAAATGTACTTAAAATTGGTGAAACTGACAATTGTTTTAAATAACAAGTTACTATTGATTGTTGATAACTCAAAAGTTGAAAGTCCGGTGAGTTCAAATCACAATACCACTTTCTTTTCTCACGTCTTTTTAGTTTTAGTTGAACCTGTACTTTGGTTCTACACTAGGATAAGAAATTTGCACATTACAAAGTTGATAGTTATAATTGTAGATGCGATGCACAATGCTTTGTAATAAGTAATAACTGATACACACATATGTTCTGCCTTGATTTGCAAAAAATAAAAATAGTTTTAAGCGTTACTGTAAGAATATTATTTTATGGTCATAAAACTAATTCAATTCAAATAAATTTTAATATCCTTCACCTTTGTCACGTAAAAATTCCAGTCTGCTACAATCTACTGTGTATGAAGCCGTGAAAGCAAAAGCTAATTGACGATTTTAAGTATCATTCTTAATTTAGTAACCCAGAGTTTGACTATTTCGAATGTTTTTGTTCATTAAGGGACACTTTGGCTTTTGATCAGTGCAATTGACCATACTATGCACCTAGGGCGTTTTCACCCTTGAAAGAAAGAAAAAAAAATCAATTATTGGGTACGCCAGTATAGTTATTTATTCAGACAGTAACTATCATCAATACAACCATTTTGTTTGGCATTTATTTTTAAAGAGAATAATTTGTATGCAGTTTGAAAACTTTGTTGACTGTTGTAAATATGTGTTCTGTGTTAATCAATAGATTTTTAATTTTTTAAAGGATGCCTTGTGTTTTACAATGCTGTTGTTGTTATTTAAGAGGACAATTTTTTTATATGTATATTCCACACTGGCATGATATCTTTTTGTGACATTTAGACCTTATTATTGGATACGCAGACCTTTCATGTGTTGTAAAGAACAAAACTTCTCCTTCTCTCTCTCTCTCTCTCTCTCTCTTTCTCTCTCTTTCTCTCTCTCTCTCTCCAAAATGAAATTTATTTGTAAGCTTGATCTTATTCAGTTTAATTCTGAAGAGTGACAAACACCATTATCATGACGTCATAGAAAATATTTCCGAATGCTTGGTAGAAAATTATCAAATGGGCGGATTTCTTGATTGTATTATTTCCCGATCACGAGTGTATCAAAGGTAATACAAAGTTTTGGGGAATTTTTGAAAAATGGCTGGATAGTGATTATTTACAATTTTGATTATTTGGATTCCCCTGTGGATGTATTATAAGCACTAGAAAATTTAGCCCCTAAAACACTTCTGCTTCTGAGATAAATTGAATATAAAAGTTCACCGGTGCTCCCGGTAAGTTTTGTGAAATTTCAAATAGCGCCTACGGCCATACAATGGCAGCTGCGACCATGAAAATCTCAGAATATGTAGTTGTGATATATAATTTCCAAACGGGAATAGCCAATCGGTCGATTTTAGTCAATAAACATTGTTTTATAGCTAAATTAATATATTGATCTTGAGAGGGAGCTATACAACATAAACAGTTTATTTTTACAATTTCATCATTTTAGACTCGATTTCAACCGCGCCAACGATCACTGAATATTGTAGGATCGCATGTGCTTCCAATATGTTCATTTGAACCAAATTCATGACCCCATACCAAAACTTTGTATTACCTTTAAAGCAAAATTTAGCGCGTAATGTTAACAAATTGTGTAATTCATTTGGATGTACGGTGCTTGCTCTGGCGACCATAATGGTTATACTGTACACGAAGACCTGTATAGTCAATATAATATAACGAAATATTGTATAGCTTGATATATGTTCCTTTACTTTACTTTGGTAGATAGGTCTATGCTTGGAAGATATAGTGTAAAGTTGTTGTCGGTGGTGGTGGTGATGATTTTGATTGCGCTCTTTGAGATGGTGATTTCCGGTAAATTAACTTGTGTCTCCGTTGTGAGTTCTAGGCGATCTTGTTGGAAACTATTGATATACCACGCAGGCGCGTACGCAAGGGGGTGGGAGGGGGATTAACCCCCCTTGTTTTTTGTTGTATGTGTGTGTATGTATCCGGTTTGTATTGGAAATGGCATCTTTTTAGGCTTCATGCTCTAGCACCTTACATGTATATACAATATTTATGCCTCCGCAACGTACGAAGTAGCCTGAAGCACTATGTTTTAGGGTTGTCCGTCCGTCCATCCGTCCGTACCTCCCGTTTACTTGATCATGACTTTCTCCACATCTTTACTTTTTGGTGATGCTGCCCTCAAGGTTATCTAAGAAAACCATGTACTGTATAAATATTTATGTATATTAAATTTCATGCATTTAGTTCTATTAGGTACAGAACATTTTCCATTTTCGTTTTTAGAATTTAAAAAGGCTAGCCACACATTAAGCTAGATGGATCTTATGGAGAGACAGCTTAAATCAATGATCTTAAAATTCCAGATGTAAGTTTTCATACCGCTTTGATTTCATATTGATCCTTACAGACAATGAGAATCCAGTCATCAGTGGATGCCCGACCGATCAGAGTGTCAACACAGACAGTGGCAGGGCTACAGCAGTAGTAAAATGGACACCACCTACAGCAACAGATAACTCTGGTAACCAGACGCTGACATCTTCGCACAATCGTGGAGATCTCTTTCCTATTGGAAACACCACAGTGACCTACACATCAACAGATGCTGCAGGAAATATAGATATATGTACCTTCCTTATAACTGTGGCTGGTAAGTTTGTGAAATAAAGACGAAATGAAATGAAAAAGTGAAGTTTACAAGATCATTATAGTTGTAACTCTGTGTTATTTCCTCTTCCGTTTTCCGTTTTCCCTTCTCTCTTCTATATACCTTTTCTTTTCAGCTTTTATTTTATTACGATCTTTGAAGTTTTCTATTTCTGTGGCAATTTAGTAATATAAAAGCAAATGTCAATTCCGGTTTGTATTGGAAATGGCATCTTTTTAGGCTTCATGCTCTAGCACCTTACATGTATATACAATATTTATGCCTCCGCAACGTACGAAGTAGCCTGAAGCACTATGTTTTAGGGTTGTCCGTCCGTCCATCCGTCCGTACCTCCCGTTTACTTGATCATGACTTTCTCCACATCTTTACTTTTTGGTGATGCTGCCCTCAAGGTTATCTAAGAAAACCATGTACTGTATAAATATTTATGTATATTAAATTTCATGCATTTAGTTCTATTAGGTACAGAACATTTTCCATTTTCGTTTTTAGAATTTAAAAAGGCTAGCCACACATTAAGCTAGATGGATCTTATGGAGAGACAGCTTAAATCAATGATCTTAAAATTCCAGATGTAAGTTTTCATACCGCTTTGATTTCATATTGATCCTTACAGACAATGAGAATCCAGTCATCAGTGGATGCCCGACCGATCAGAGTGTCAACACAGACAGTGGCAGGGCTACAGCAGTAGTAAAATGGACATCACCTACAGCAACAGATAACTCTGGTAACCAGACGCTGACATCTTCGCACAATCGTGGAGATCTCTTTCCTATTGGAAACACCACAGTGACCTACACATCAACAGATGCTGCAGGAAATATAGATATATGTACCTTCCTTATAACTGTGGCTGGTAAGTTTGTGAAATAAAGACGAAATGAAATGAAAAAGTGAAGTTTACAAGATCATTATAGTTGTAACTCTGTGTTATTTCCTCTTCCGTTTTCCGTTTTCCCTTCTCTCTTCTATATACCTTTTCTTTTCAGCTTTTATTTTATTACGATCTTTGAAGTTTTCTATTTCTGTGGCAATTTAGTAATATAAAAGCAAATGTCAATTCCGGTTTGTATTGGAAATGGCATCTTTTTAGGCTTCATGCTCTAGCACCTTACATGTATATACAATATTTATGCCTCCGCAACGTACGAAGTAGCCTGAAGCACTATGTTTTAGGGTTGTCCGTCCGTCCATCCGTCCGTACCTCCCGTTTACTTGATCATGACTTTCTCCACATCTTTACTTTTTGGTGATGCTGCCCTCAAGGTTATCTAAGAAAACCATGTACTGTATAAATATTTATGTATATTAAATTTCATGCATTTAGTTCTATTAGGTACAGAACATTTTCCATTTTCGTTTTTAGAATTTAAAAAGGCTAGCCACACATTAAGCTAGATGGATCTTATGGAGAGACAGCTTAAATCAATGATCTTAAAATTCCAGATGTAAGTTTTCATACCGCTTTGATTTCATATTGATCCTTACAGACAATGAGAATCCAGTCATCAGTGGATGCCCGACCGATCAGAGTGTCAACACAGACAGTGGCAGGGCTACAGCAGTAGTAAAATGGACATCACCTACAGCAACAGATAACTCTGGTAACCAGACGCTGACATCTTCGCACAATCGTGGAGATCTCTTTCCTATTGGAAACACCACAGTGACCTACACATCAACAGATGCTGCAGGAAATATAGATATATGTACCTTCCTTATAACTGTGGCTGGTAAGTTTGTGAAATAAAGACGAAATGAAATGAAAAAGTGAAGTTTACAAGATCATTATAGTTGTAACTCTGTGTTATTTCCTCTTCCGTTTTCCGTTTTCCCTTCTCTCTTCTATATACCTTTTCTTTTCAGCTTTTATTTTATTACGATCTTTGAAGTTTTCTATTTCTGTGGCAATTTAGTAATATAAAAGCAAATGTCAATTCCGGTTTGTATTGGAAATGGCATCTTTTTAGGCTTCATGCTCTAGCACCTTACATGTATATACAATATTTATGCCTCCGCAACGTACGAAGTAGCCTGAAGCACTATGTTTTAGGGTTGTCCGTCCGTCCATCCGTCCGTACCTCCCGTTTACTTGATCATGACTTTCTCCACATCTTTACTTTTTGGTGATGCTGCCCTCAAGGTTATCTAAGAAAACCATGTACTGTATAAATATTTATGTATATTAAATTTCATGCATTTAGTTCTATTAGGTACAGAACATTTTCCATTTTCGTTTTTAGAATTTAAAAAGGCTAGCCACACATTAAGCTAGATGGATCTTATGGAGAGACAGCTTAAATCAATGATCTTAAAATTCCAGATGTAAGTTTTCATACCGCTTTGATTTCATATTGATCCTTACAGACAATGAGAATCCAGTCATCAGTGGATGCCCGACCGATCAGAGTGTCAACACAGACAGTGGCAGGGCTACAGCAGTAGTAAAATGGACACCACCTACAGCAACAGATAACTCTGGTAACCAGACGCTGACATCTTCGCACAATCGTGGAGATCTCTTTCCTATTGGAAACACCACAGTGACCTACACATCAACAGATGCTGCAGGAAATATAGATATATGTACCTTCCTTATAACTGTGGCTGGTAAGTTTGTGAAATAAAGACGAAATGAAATGAAAAAGTGAAGTTTACAAGATCATTATAGTTGTAACTCTGTGTTATTTCCTCTTCCGTTTTCCGTTTTCCCTTCTCTCTTCTATATACCTTTTCTTTTCAGCTTTTATTTTATTACGATCTTTGAAGTTTTCTATTTCTGTGGCAATTTAGTAATATAAAAGCAAATGTCAATTCCGGTTTGTATTGGAAATGGCATCTTTTTAGGCTTCATGCTCTAGCACCTTACATGTATATACAATATTTATGCCTCCGCAACGTACGAAGTAGCCTGAAGCACTATGTTTTAGGGTTGTCCGTCCGTCCATCCGTCCGTACCTCCCGTTTACTTGATCATGACTTTCTCCACATCTTTACTTTTTGGTGATGCTGCCCTCAAGGTTATCTAAGAAAACCATGTACTGTATAAATATTTATGTATATTAAATTTCATGCATTTAGTTCTATTAGGTACAGAACATTTTCCATTTTCGTTTTTAGAATTTAAAAAGGCTAGCCACACATTAAGCTAGATGGATCTTATGGAGAGACAGCTTAAATCAATGATCTTAAAATTCCAGATGTAAGTTTTCATACCGCTTTGATTTCATATTGATCCTTACAGACAATGAGAATCCAGTCATCAGTGGATGCCCGACCGATCAGAGTGTCAACACAGACAGTGGCAGGGCTACAGCAGTAGTAAAATGGACACCACCTACAGCAACAGATAACTCTGGTAACCAGACGCTGACATCTTCGCACAATCGTGGAGATCTCTTTCCTATTGGAAACACCACAGTGACCTACACATCAACAGATGCTGCAGGAAATATAGATATATGTACCTTCCTTATAACTGTGGCTGGTAAGTTTGTGAAATAAAGACGAAATGAAATGAAAAAGTGAAGTTTACAAGATCATTATAGTTGTAACTCTGTGTTATTTCCTCTTCCGTTTTCCGTTTTCCCTTCTCTCTTCTATATACCTTTTCTTTTCAGCTTTTATTTTATTACGATCTTTGAAGTTTTCTATTTCTGTGGCAATTTAGTAATATAAAAGCAAATGTCAATTCCGGTTTGTATTGGAAATGGCATCTTTTTAGGCTTCATGCTCTAGCACCTTACATGTATATACAATATTTATGCCTCCGCAACGTACGAAGTAGCCTGAAGCACTATGTTTTAGGGTTGTCCGTCCGTCCATCCGTCCGTACCTCCCGTTTACTTGATCATGACTTTCTCCACATCTTTACTTTTTGGTGATGCTGCCCTCAAGGTTATCTAAGAAAACCATGTACTGTATAAATATTTATGTATATTAAATTTCATGCATTTAGTTCTATTAGGTACAGAACATTTTTCATTTTCGTTTTTAGAATTTAAAAAGGCTAGCCACACATTAAGCTAGATGGATCTTATGGAGAGACAGCTTAAATCAATGATCTTAAAATTCCAGATGTAAGTTTTCATACCGCTTTGATTTCATATTGATCCTTACAGACAATGAGAATCCAGTCATCAGTGGGTGCCCAAGTGATCAGAATGTCAACACAGACAGTGGTAATGCTACAGCAGTAGTAAGCTGGACCCCACCTACAGCAACAGATAACTCTGGTAACCAGACACTGACATCCACTGACAATCCTGGAGACTACTTTCCTATTGGAAACACCACAGTGAACTACACATCAACAGATGCAGCAGGAAATATGGAAATATGTACCTTCATTATAACTGTGGCTGGTAAGTATATATAAAAGAATGTTGAGTGCCTATCGCCGTTATAAATATAACATACATGTCAATAACCTCGATCTGTGGTCTTGGCTATATATAACATCCCTCTGGTAAATTCTGAATTTGTTGGTTCAAATATTTTTGCCTAATGAATTCTGGAGCATTCAATATTTGTATGATATTTATCTTTCTTATTTGCTAGCTTTCATTCCTATCTTTTCTCTCCTTGACCTCTAGCTGGTAACTCTTTGTGTCATTATTGTGCCAGCGTTGGGGACATGGAGGGAATTTTCAGCGCAAAACTTGAAATGTTGTACTTTGTTATTTTCATTTCATTAAAAAAAATTGTACCGTAATCCTAAACTGGTTAGATTGCTGAATTAGATTAGAAGCATGCAGCGTAATTCTGTTTTGCTCTTCACAAAAAAATAATAACGTTTACATGTTTACATTTTTATCCCTATACTTGATAATAATAATAATAATGATGATAATAGTAATGGCAATAGTAACAATGATGATGATGATGATGATAATGATTATGATTGTGATAATAATAATGATGATAATGATAATAATAATAATGATATCAATAATAATGATAATATAGATGATGATAAATTATAATTATATATAATATATAGATATAGGAGTTGGAAATGTTAAAATTTATTGGTGAGAGTTATACAGACTGTTTCGCCAGTATATATATATATATATATATAGGCGTGAAGAAAATGGTCTAGGAACGTGAGACGTAGCTGTACTTTACAATTTTATTACGACCATTTTCTTCACGCCTACATATTCTGGAATATCTGTTGTCATGTCAGAGCTGAGAATTCTCACACTTTTATATATCAAGATATTATATTATACTTTGAATAAAAGGAGGCATGTGGATCATGTAACCGACAAGGAATGCCAGATTGGATGTGGTCGGTAGGGTAAAGACATAGAAGAATCGCAATATCCATGTCCCCTTACTAGTGGACTCATTTGACAGTTCTATACACTTGATGGTATTTCAATTTTTCACCAAAACTAATAATGGGAGACATGAACCATGCAATTACATGACGTGCATTAATTACATCATGATGGTCTACACCCTGTCTACACAGTATGTTTGTGGTTGTTGCTTTAGCTGTAACTGGTCAATCTTGCTTTTTATGTTTTCTAGACATTGAAGACCCAGTTCTAAGTGGATGTTTTTCCTTGCTCACCTTAAATGCGCTTCCCGGTGTGCCTTTTGCTATTGTGAATTGGGTTGATCCAACAGCCACCGACAACTCTGGGTTGGTTACTGTAACAGGCACCCATTCTTCAGGGAACAGGTATAACATCGGCGAAACAATGGTCACATTTACAGCAGCAGACGATTCTGGGAATGAGGACATGTGTACATTTACAATTGAAGTAGTTGGTGAGTTTTTATAACCTGCAATAATATTTCTGAATCAGATGTTTAGGGCTATATGTACACTCTTGTCTATTTATACCCAGACGTTGTGTTGTGTGTATACGGACAGATTATGTATGTCCAGACAGTTGACTTAAACAGCAATTTGAGGAAGTTTACATGCAAAATGTAATAAATCTTTACAATTTCTGATAGACAGTATTATATATAACAAATATTTACGATGGTTAGTGCTATTTGATGAATACTTTTCGTGAAATTTAAAGGCCAAAGGGAAGGCTTCATTTTTGTTGAGCATTTGGACACACAACCCCCATCATAATACTAAATCATAAAACTTGTCTGATCTCTATTAAAATTTGTATCACCAGTTTGAGGAAGAGTGATGCCTAAAAAAAAATGCCTGCAATTTAATTTTTGAACAGATGTCGAAGGTCCCATCCTTATGGGCTGTATGTCATCTGATGTTGTTACCAACACCACAACCGGACTGCCAGTGGCCCTGGTCAATTATGGTGTTCCAACAGCTACAGATAACTCTGGGGCAATCACTGCAAACTTGACTTCAGGTCTTCCCCCAGGAAACTTTTCTCTTGGTAACACTTTGGTCATGTATACAGCAGCTGATCCATCTGGGAACAGTGTATCATGCTCTTTCTATGTCAATGTGTCCGGTAAGTGTGATCTTCATTGCCATTTTACTGTTTTCAAGAATTCTTAAATAGTCAGCTTATTATTGCCAGTTTTGGTCCATCGCTTTGGTCCATCATAGCAGTGCATGGTTCAGTGCGCCCTTCAATTACCCATCAGATAGTTTGATAGATTGTTTTAATCCTATGAATTTTTTTTTTTTTTTTTTTTTTAAAGGGAAAGTCCACCCCCAAAATAAGAAGTTTGTTTCGATAGAGGCAGAATAATAAGAAAATCAGGTGAGTGAAAGTTTGAGCAAATTCTGAATGAAAATAAGAAAGTTATGAATTATTGAAGTTGTGATCAATCAAATACAAATTGGCAACTCTGTGACTTATTATACAAGCTCTCTTTCATTTGCTTTGTGCATAATATTCCATAAAATCATGTTTTCTTCGTTATTGATGACGGAATATATATTTGTTCCTTGCAGGGGGAGTATAGAAACATATTTGCAATTATTATATTTAGGGTGCATGTATGGTTGAAATTTTTCTTGAGGGAAAATGAAAATTTTAGATTTTTTTAGTACTGAGCAAATGGAAGTTGAGCTCGCATGATACGTCATAGAGTTGCCAATTTGTGTTTGATTGATCACAACTTCAAAAATCCTAACTTCCTTATTTTTAATCGGAATTTGCTCAAACTTTCACTGACTTGTTTCTCTCATTTTTCTACTCCTATTAAAACTAACTTAATTTCAGGGTGGACTTCCCCTTTAAATGTGAAATAGTTTTAGTAAGTTTTTCACATAGATATAATGAATTTGATTATACCATATTCTCTCATGACTTTGATATTCACTGTTGCTCTGCATTTACTTTGCATTTGGAATCTTCTTGTCATCAATGATTGTACCCTCTGCTTTACCTACGTTTCAGATGTGGAAAATCCCGTATTCACCTCCTGCCCCAGTAGTCAGACTGTGGGCACTGACTTCAGAGGTGACACGGCTATGCTCAATTGGACCGTAACGGTTACCGATAATGATGCGGCTGTTCTCACCTCGGACTACAATACATCATATGTTTTCCCACTCGGAAAAACGACAGTGACTTATAATGCCACTGATAACTCTTCAAACTCAGCGATGTGTGTTTTCACCTTTACAGTGGAAGGTAGGTGAAAGTCACACCCTCTTATCTTATCTCATTTGGCAGCATATTTTCCTGTGGACAAAGGTGTAGTAAATTGATACTGAGAGGAAAGAAATTCATTTCATCTGACGTAACTGCTGTGTTAAATTAAAATTAGCCCCATGAGTGTCATGCTTGACAGATATGGGAGTCACAGAGAAACACATAATTTTTATAAACCCCTAAACCCTGTGCATTTACCAACAATAGCCAGACAATACCTCTGTTGGTTATATGCATGCAATAACCACTATATGATAATAGTTGATTTGCTTTTGAAAGTGTGAATGCTTTTGCCAAGCTACCATGAAAAAGCGCTCAAGCTCTCAAGTGGGTATCGTACTCATTTACTTCACTTGCATCATGAGTGGCGAATGGAGATGGCAATGGACCTAGAAGTGTCATGCCGGGGATTTGAACTCTAAACCCCGAGATCCAGGGTCTATTGACATATCCACTGGACTATGACACCTCTCTGTCACAGATGTGCATGCACAGGATATACTTTTTATTGTGTCATATATATCAATCACATTATTTCAGGAAACCCTCATCCACAAAATAATTTTGTTTACATACACATTTTCAGGACTACTACTTAAAGAGAGTGGTCTGATCTTTTGGATTAAAATTAAAATCCATTAAAATAGAAGACTTGAAGCAAAATAAAATAGCAGTTAATGTACTGTGCTTGATTTCTGACATCTGAGATCTTAGATTTTGTTTGGGGGGGGGGGTCAGGTCAAGTCTGATAGATCAGTCATATATTCACACACTTTTCATAGAAATTTTAATATCTGTGAGGAGATTAAGGAAATTAGATTATTGAGATAAAGTAGAGGATTGCTAAGCATAAGTGGTCATATCGTATTAGGTTTCTTACACAGAAATGACTGATTTTATTTTCAAAATTGTTTTAATTCAATATAATCAGATCAGGAGGTCCATTACACTGAACTCCAATTCTCACCGCATATATCTGAAAACAAGCCAACAGCCAATCGCTGAGGTATCAGAGGCGCAGTCATTGTTAGAATGTATATTTATTGCTATATGTGCGGTAGCGAGAATTGCCCATCAGATGTGGATACTAGGGTCCTGTTTTATAAAAATTTTATGTCATGATTTATGTCACATTTCAATAAAACTTTTATGCATGTACAGGGCCCTTAAATTTTAGGTATTAAAGGGAAATCCAACCCAAATAGACAAGTACTCTAAAAGAAAGCAGAAAACTGGTGAAAATTTCAATTCAATTTGGCTAAATATAAGAAAGTTATGAATTTTTGAAAGTTGATATCACTATACGTGCAATTCAAGTTTGCTGAAGCGGTAATGTCAATGTGATGTAGTGCCGGACTGCTTTCCCATCTGTTCCTCCAACATATAAAATGATGAAAATTTTTTTTTTTTTCAAAAATTCATGTCTCATGATGGTTTATTCTTTTTAGAAGGCCTTTAATATGCTATCTATAATATATTTTGAGTAGTGCCCCAAGGGAAAAGGAACTTATGAGAAAAACAGAAATTAATGATATTTGTGTACACAGCAAATGGGATAGTAGTCTTCGTCCTACGTCACAATCCACTGACCAAACTACCAATTTGAGATTTGCATAGACTTAGTAATCTCATATTTCAAACATTCATAACTTGCTTTCAAACTTGCCATTCTGTTTCTGTTATTTTTCTGCTTTCATACAAAGGTCACATAGATCATATCATACTTATGTAGAAATTATTCCAAAAAAAAATTGTTTTTATTTCACACGATAAGATCAAGAAGCCCCTTACTACACGACAATGGTGAGCACATGCCCAACGGATGTGGTCAATATCACAGTCACTGATCTAAACTACCGCAACATAAGCTGGATTGTACCACAAGTCCAAGATAATGTGGACCCAACTGTAAATCTCACCGGAGTCTCGGAGAGCCACTCGCCAGGATCCCAGTTCTTTGCCGGCACAACCACTGTCATTTACCAAGCCACAGACCTCTCTGGAAATACGGGCAATTGTACTTTTCAGATAACAATCAATGGTGAGTCTTTTGAATGTAGTTATGGTAAACGGCTCAGAAGTCTACATAACATAATCATTTTGCTATCAGCACAGCAGTATTTTTTGGAATAATCAAGCAGTATACTATGTGTAATTGCTGAATGTTATGAAATGTGCCGTTTTTTGGTCAATGCCCCATCACCCATGCATTTATCTGCGTAAAAAGGAAATTAAAGTATTCATTTATGAAACGTAAGAGTAAATCAAAGCTGAACCAAAATTCTCCAAAAGAATAATTTTTCAGATTTGTGTATTTGAATGTAAAAGATTTTTTTTTATATTAGTCAATGCCATGGCACAAAAAATATTCCTTAATGCAAAAAGTGAATTGGAAGTTTCTAATGGTGTTAGTCTAGACCTAACTCTTACGTTAATAAAAAATTATGGCTTTTAACAATTATCCATTTTGCATTCCAAGCACTTTGCGTGCTACTACATTTTGGTAATTAAGCCATGTGCATATCAACATCACTTGGGCATAAATGCATTGTGCGTTCCAAATGTGTCTTTGCCTGCCACTACATTTTGGTAATTAAGCCATGTGCATATCAACATCACTTGGGCATAAATGCATTGTGCGTTCCAAATGTGTCTTTGCCTGCCACTACATTTTGGTAATTAAGCCATGTGCATATCAACATCACTTGGGCATAAATGCATTTTGCGTTCCAACCATGTCTTTGCCTGCCACTACATTTTAGTATTAAAGCTATGTGCATATGAACATCTCTTCAACATAAAATCATTTTGCGTTCCAAACATGTAATTGCGTGCCACTACCTTTTGGTAAGCCACGTGCATATCAATATCACTTCGGCATAAATGCACTTTTCTTTCCAAACATGTCTTTTCCTGCCACTACATTTTGGTAAGCTACGTGCATACCCAGGACCAAAATCCAGTTGAAACCAATTGGAGCAAAACCAATTGAAACCAGTTGCCAACTGGTTTCAATAGGGAAATTGGAACAACTGGTTCCAATTGAAACCAGTTGCCAACTGGTTCCAATTGAAACCAGTTGAAACCAATTGCCAACTGGTTCCAATTGAAACCAGTTGAAACCAATTGCCAACTGGTTCCAGTTGCCCAATGGTTTCAACTGGAACCAGTTGTTCCAATTTCCCTATTGAAACCAGTTGGCTTCAATTGGTTTCAACTGGTTTCAATTGGTTTCAACTGGTTTCAATTGGTTTCAACTGGTTTCAATTGGTTTCAACTGGTTTCAATCGGATCAAATTGAAACTTACAGTTGGCATAAACTTAATTAGTTATAAGTTAATTAGCTCTTGCACTAATTATCGCTCATGTCAACACAGTAGCATTGTTATATGTGTCTACATTAAGTACAATGTAAAGGGCATTATAATATGCAGACCATATAATATAATTAACAAGGAAGGCATTGCCATTATATATGTTTGTATTTGATGTATTTTGTACATGGTTAGTGTTTTACTAATCAACTTTTAATCTGTGTAATTACAAAAATATGTTACTAATGAACATGCTTATCATTGCTAATTAGTCTTTATATTTATCTGAAACAAATGCATTACTTGCAAATGAAAATTAATTAATAAGTACATTGTAAATCCAAAAAAATTACATAAAACATTGATCTGCACACAAGCAGATAATATGCAAATTAACTGGTTTCAATTGGATCCAGTTGGGTAACTGGAAATATTTCCAATTGGAACCAATTGTGTAACTGGAAATGAATTCTAACTGGAACCATGCAGTTGGGTAACTGGAAATTATACTTCTAACTGGAAATGAATGCTAACTGGAACCAATTGGGTAACTGGAAATGAATTCTAACTGGAACCAGTTGGGTAACTGGAAATTACTTCTAACTGGAAATGAATGCTAACTGGAACCAGTTGGGTAACTGGAAATAAATTCTAACTGGAACCAGTTGGGTAACTGGAAATGACTTCTAACTGGAACCAGTTGGGTAACTGGAAATGACTTCTAACTGGAAATGAATGCTAACTGGAACCAGTTGGGTAACTGGAAATGAATTTTAACTGGAACCAGTTGGGTTACTGGAAATGAATTCTAACTGGAACCAGTTGGGTAACTGGAAATGAATTCTAACTGGAACCAATTGGGTAATTGGAAATGAATTCTTAACTGGAACCAGTTGGGTAACTGGAAATGACTTCTAACTGGAAATGAATGCTAACTGGAACCAGTTGGGTAACTGGAAATGAATTCTAACTGGAACCAATTGAGTAACAGGAAAATCATCTTACTGTTTCCAGTTGAACTTCTAACTGGAACCAGTTGGGTAACTGGAAATGACTTCTAACTGGAACCAATTGAGTAACTGAAAAAATTACCTTACTGGTTCCAGTTGCACTTCTTATGGGTTTGAACTGGAAATGAACAATATTTTCCAGTTCGGCAATTGGTTTCAACTGGAAATTTTATATTCCAATTGAAACCAATTGAAACCAATTGAAACCAGTTGAAACCAATTGAAACCAATTGAAACCAGTTGGAGATTTCAACTGGTTTCAATTGGATTTTGGTCCTGGGTATTGACATCATTTCGGCATAAATGCATTTGTGTTCCAAACATGTCCTTGCGTGCCATTACATTTTGGTATTAAAGCTACGTGCATATTGACATCACTTTGGTTTAAACTGTATGAATATTCACTCTTTGAATCAACAGATGAACAGGTTCCAGATCTCACAGGTTGTCCCTCCGACATGAACGCTACTACAGACCCTGGTGTATCTTATGCTACTACTGTGAACTGGACGGCACCTGTATTCACAGATAACGTAGACATCATCAATGCTACATCATCACATTCTCCTTTAGATAAGTTTATCATCGGAGTCACAGAGGTGTCTTATAATGGAAGTGACAGTGCAGGAAATGTTGCCTCTTGCACCTTTATTATCACAGTGTCTGGTAAGTGAAAGCCAAAGAATATGGAAAGTGATGGATTCGAATTATATTTCAAAATCCATCTGTCTTTGCAATTGAAGGAAATGTCAGAAAAAAAAGTTAATTCTTGACTACACAACTTGTTTCTATTGGTACCAGACTTAGCATTCATTTGAGATTCGCTATTAGACCAATATTATTGGATAAAGTTATTATTTCTAGTCAAATTGAAACATGAGAGCTGTATATTAGGTATTGTATCATCTTTTTGCAGGCCAAATTCTAGGAAGGTATGTAGAAGAAAATTCTGTTCAAGACATTTCCTCAGATATAGGAACTAGAAAGTCCTGCTGGACAATAACTTTTTGTGGAATAATCGACTTTAAAATTTCAAACCTTTTTGAAGTGTCTTCATACGTTATTTGGCTTTCAGGCAGCGAGTGATCTGGGCCTCATTGCATGAAATACCATTAATTGTAACTTTGCCATTAATGGTAACTTCCATGGAAACCTTGATTTGATTGGCTGTTGAGTGATGTTGCAATTGTAGTTAATACTAGGGACTTTTAGATTGAGTGGACGAGAACACGACGAATGCCAACTGATCATGCGTGTCAACGTACTCAACTGCCCATGTTGACTACAATTAGAAATCTTAAATTGCACTCGACGATAAACATGCATGCAGGAAGTAACACTATGAATATGACGGACAAAAGAACATCTCTTCACTGCTATTATGTAAAAATGTGTAGAACAGGTGAATATGCATGTGACACCTGTTCTACACATTTTTACATAATAGCAGGGAAGGGATCGATGTTCCTTTGTCTACCTGAGGAACTGTATATTTTATGCGCACGCGGCATACTAGTACCGTACTAGATTTAGGAAAATCAAGGTTGACGCATTCTCGATCGCCGACTGAGACGACGTGACGCATGCGCAGTGCCATAAAATGACGTCACACGTTGCAGTCAAAGCTGTAGACGCGCAAATCTAAAAGTCCCTTTTGATGGCAAAGTTACCATCAGTGGTAAGTTTTATGCAACAGGGTCCTGTAACAAGATTGATGATTCTCTAGTAAAATCTATTCTATCAAGCTTATTAATTTTGAATTAGAATCATGAATCATGAAGTTTTACAAAGTCTTATACGTGGCCGGCCCCTTAGACACAAACATCTGATGTTGTTTTTTAATCACAAAAATACAAATTGCTGTTATGATATCATGCTGATGTAGGCCAAATGTTGTGGGACATGTAATGGGAGGACATGTAAAGGGATGAAATGATTCTTCTAATGCTGCCACATTATTCTAGTTGTTGCTTCATATTATTATGTTTTTCTCTAGTACATGTACATGATAACACAACATCAGTAAATGTTACATGTATATTCTTTTTGAAGGGTCACTTCTTGCAAGTTAATAAGAATTGTTATTGGGAGTCATTTTTCACATTTGCCTGAACAGACAATGAGAATCCAGTCATCGGAGGATGCCCAAGTGACCAGAGTGTAAACACAGACAGTGGTAATGCTACAGCTGTAGTTACCTGGATGCTGCCAGCAGCAACAGATAACTCTGGTAGCCAGATGCTGACATCCACTGACAATCCTGAAGATTCCTTTCCTATTGGTAACAACACAGTGACCTACACATCAACAGATGCAGCTGGATACACAGACAATTGCACCTTCTATATAGTTGTCAACGGTAAGTGGAGATACTTGTATGCATTATCATGCCCTTGTTATGCCAGCTGGTAGGTTGGTAGTTTTGCAATTCTATTTTTCTATTGCTTTTTTGGTCCATACTTTTTATGTTGATTGAATTCTTATCAATGTCATAACAGTTTCACAATGTGATATGGGTAATTTCATAAATTAGGGACCCACTTTGTAACATTTTTAGTGTCCCTGTTACATAAGGAACCCACACGTATTTGTGGGGGTGGTGGTGCATATTATGGTAATTTATGCAAATTTGGTAATAAAATTCACATTTGTACCCATAAATCTTGTATTCTTCATTTTAAAACATTAGTTTTCACTTCATAGTAGGAGACCAGCCTGTAGGTCCCATGACCAATCTCTTGGAACAAAGGTTTGTAAGTGTTTTTGTGTTCCCTGATGAATACCGAACAATTTTGACTTGGGCTGCCCCCTTGAAAATCCCAGGCATTTTCATGAGGGGTCAACAAAGGTCAAACGGGGGTAGAAATTCAAATATATTCCAATAAAAAAAATACAAATAGAGCATAATATGAAGTTGAAACCTACCATATTCACAGAAAACATGATAAAACGTCTCGTCATAATCGTCTTCAAGGGGCTGGATTGTTTACCCCTAGACTAGGCAGGCCGCATAAGCAAGGACAAATAAAATTGATGACGTAATTGGCAACAAAATCAGTCAGGCGTGAATCTCGTCGTGAATTTTATCGCCAATTATTCACAACGAAATTGACGATATCGTGAATTTTGTCGTGAATAATTCACGATTTGGTCTGTTCACGATGTCCCTTCAAATGGAAGAGCCAGGTTATTGCTTATGTTATCAATTGTTTTGATAATTTCTTGTGTATTTCTTTGTTTTTTTAAACTTATGTATTTTATTGTTTTTGTTTAATTTCATTTCTAATTATTTTGAACTCCAAAATAAACAACAAAACTATAAACAAGATCAAATTTTGTTTGGAAAAATGAGATTGCCTTATGTTTTGTACACAAATCGCAAAAATGAGCGATTTTCGGGCTGACATGCAAAGACAATAGGTAACGTGAATTTTTAACGCCAGGTCCGATTTTCCCAAAAATTATTTCAAAAGATGTACAAGGCTCGAAAGAAAAAATCTTTAGATTTCAGCGTAACATTCTTTTGCGTAAAACATGCGAAAAATAGCCCCTCCTCCTATAGCCCCCCCCCCCCTGGGTTAGATAGGGTTAATTTAAGAATTAATAATTTACTATGTGAAATAACAATACCAGAAAACATTGAGCATTATGTATCTTCAGGTACAATTGTAAAAGTGCTTTCACTTTTGGTCTTTTTAGATCGAGACTTCATAAAATATATTTGAGAATGATTAAGATGCTCATTGTTCGAAATGTACCCATACCATACAGACAATGAGAATCCAGTCATCGGTAGATGCAAAACTGATCACAGTATTTCAAAGGCCCTCTCATGAAAGGCAAAGAGTGAAGTGATTGATTTTTATCTCCATTGTCATCAGATTTAAAAATATGCAAACACCTTTATTTCTTATCTCTTGATTCACATGATTGGTAATAGAGCTTCCATTTCATTTTTTGAGAGGGGGGCGTTTCCAAAACTGATCTTTACCTTTAATAAGAATTGTTTTTGGAGTAATTTTTCACATTTACCTGTATCATAACAGACAATGAGAATCCAGTCATCGGTGGATGCCCAAGTGACCAGAGTGTAAACACGAACAGTGGCAGGGCTACAGCAGTAGTAAAATGGACAACACCTACAGCAACAGATAACTCTGGTAACCAGACGCTGACATCCACTGACAATCCTGGAGATTCCTTTCCTATTGGAAACAACACAGTGACCTACACATCAACAGATGCAGCAGGAAATACAGACACATGCACCTTTTATATATCTGTGACTGGTAAGTAACCATGAAAATTGCTATAGGTGACATATATTGTCAGTCCGTCCGTCCGTACGTCCCATTCTCGTGATCGCGTTATCTCAAGATTTGGTCATGTATGTAACTTGCAGAGCCAATAAATTGATTAAATTTTGGGGTCACAAGGTCAAAGGTCACAGGGCTCATTATGTATGCAAAAATAGCTCCTGATCACATTATCATTAGAACAGATGTACAGATTACCATGAAATTCAGGACATGTATGTATCTTGCTTGGGCAATGAACTGATTAGATTTTGGGGTCATGAGGTCTAGGTCAAAGGTCATGGGGCTCATTATGTATGCAAAAATAGCTTGTGATCGCATTATCATTAGAACCGATGGATTGATTACCATCAAACTCAAGACATGTATGTATCTTGCAGAGCCAATGAACTGAGTAGATTTTGGGGTCACAAGGTCAAAGGTCACAGGACTCATTATGTATGCAAAAATAGCTTGTGATTGCATTATCATTAGAACTGATGGATTGATTACCATCAAACTAAAGACATGTATGTACCTTGCAGAGCCATACAATATCATTATTATTATCTATATAAGGTTGACTAGCTAAATAACAAAATTGATTCGATAATCAAGCAATATTGTATCAACAGTTGAAGTTCGCGGATGACAGAGCAGTACGAAAACAATATTGATCGGTCATCCGGGTAATGCACTAAAAATATAAAGTACACTGGTTTGTTGCAACAATTGGAAGCCTCATATAGATAATAATCGTATATCTTCATGTCAGTCAGATAATGTAAATGTTCTCATTTCATGTAGAAGTTTGTCCTCTTGAAGACTTAGAAATTTGTAGATAGTATTTCGTTTTGTTGACATATTGTAAAGTTTACAAAAATCTTATCTGAAATCATTTTTAAAAGGCAAACCAACCCTTCTAAAAAGTTTATTTGAATGAAAGCATAAAAATCAGAGAAACAGAATTGCGAAAGTTTGAAATAAATTGGACCAATATTAAGAAGTTATGAGTGTTTGAAATGTGAGCTCACTACAGCTGTGTGAATCTCAATTCGGCAATTTTGTCAGTGGATTGTGACGCAGTTACGGATTACTCTCCCTTTTTGTTGAGTACTAAAAAATCACTTATTTCTCGTTTTCTTCCAAGTGCCTTCACCCTCAAGCACTATTTAAAATATATCATGGAGAGTACATTATTACAGGTCCTCAAAAAAGAACAGACCATCCCGTTCCATACATTTATGAAAAGTTGAAATTTTAGTCCTTTTGTGTATTGGAGCAAATGGGAAAGTTGTACGCCACTACATCGCATAGACATTATCAGCCAATTTGAAGAGCTCATACCTATAGTAATTGCAATTTTCAAAAAAATCATAACTTTCAATTTTTCTGCTTTATTCTAGACAAAAAAAAAATTCTATCAAGGTTGGATTTCCTTTAAACATTTACGTTTTGTACCCATACCATACAGACAATGAGAATCCAGTCATTGGTAGATCCAAAACTGATCAGAGTATTTCAAAGGCCCTCTCATGAAAGGCAAAGTGTGAAGTGATTGATTTTTATCTCCATTGTCATCAGATTTAAAAATATGCAAACACCTTTATTTCTTATCTCTTGATTCACATGATTGGTAATAAGAGCTTCCATTTCATTTTTTGAGAGGGGGGCGTTTCCAAAACTGATCTTTACCTTGAATTGTTATAGGCGTAATTTTTCACATTTGCCTGAACAGACAATGAGAATCCAGTCATCGGAGGATGCCCAAGTGACCAGAGTGTAAACACAGACAGTGGTAATGCTACAGCAGTAGTTACCTGGATGCTGCCACCAGCAACAGATAACTCTGGTAGCCAGATGCTGACATCCACTGACAATTCTGGAGATTCCTTTCCTATTGGAAACAACACAGTGACCTACACATCAACAGATGCAGCAGGAAATACAGACACATGTACCTTTTATATATTTGTGATTGGTAAGTAACCATAAAAACTGATATAGGTGACATATATGTAGTCATAACCTTGCTAAACAGGGAGGTGTATAGGTGAAGATAGCCTTTATTCTGAATTCTTTTTTTTAGATAAATTTGTTATAGACTAATGAATAGTCCCCAGATTGAGTCACTATATCTTTGCATCAGTAAATGTGTATTCTTGTTGTTAGAATTAATAAGCATAAAACGTGTTTTAGTTAGTCAACATTATCTCTTGATCAGAATAACTTGGAATCATTAGTGTAAATCATTTCATGGCATTCTTTGCTCCAAAACTGTATATCATGTACAAAATAAATTATAAAATGTAAAGGTCCTACCACAGAACTTTGTGGAACGCCAATGTTTATGTTCTTAGTACTATATATGTAGGATAATTTACTTATTCATTTAAACATTGCGCTCAGTTAAGTAAAGGACCTGTTAACCAATCTGGAGCTGTACAACAATCAGTGCCATATTTCGTTAAAGTAATATTTGATGAACAATACAAATCAACACTTAGAAGATTTTTACGCCGTTTTGTAAATTTAGAAATACCACTAGAAGTACCACTCCCAGTTCTTTCACTCGATCCTCTCTCTTTCAACAATTTCTGCAGACTGTCCATCCTAAGTATCCTCCTTCTTCCCCTACTCCTTCTTCCCACAATTTCCCAGTCAAAGCAAGATTCTCTAGGCCTTCTTTACATGTAATGTGACCCATGAACTTCAACTGCCTAATCAACATCTCACATATCATTTTCCTTTGCACTCCAGCTCGTGTAAGAACTTCCTCATTACTAACTTTGTCAGTCCAGGGGATTTTCATCATTCTTCTTAAAAACCACATTTCGAAACTTTCCAAACGCTTTTTAGTATCAGAGGCTAAAGTCCACGTTTCACTACCATACATAAGTACTGGGTAGATGTAACAATTCAATACTCTTATTCTGGTCCTCATACTCATTGTTCGATTTGTCAGAATTTTGCCTAGCTTTGAAAATGCAGATTTAGCGAGAGCTATCCTTCTCTTGATCTCACATCTGGCATCCTCGGCGATCATGCTGCCGAGGTAGTTAAATGAGGAGACTTGTTTAATGATCTGTTCTTTCAGTTTCAAGTTACATTTTGGACTGCTCTTCTTAGAGACCACCAGGCATTTTGTCTTGGTGTAGTTGATCTCTAGTCCCATTCTCTCACTTTCTTTTACAACTACATTCAGGAGTCTCTGGAGATCTTTCTCTGATTCAGAAAATAAAACAGTGTCATCAGCATATCTAATATTTGTGATTGAATGGCCACTCACTTGTATCCCATTTTCATCTTCCAATTCTCTTAGAATGATTTCACTCTACATATTGAACAGGTCCTGCGACATAACACAACCCTGTCTGACTCCCGTCCGATGTTAATATATTCACTACACTCTCCTTCTACCCTGATGCATGCAAACTGATTCCAAGATAGACTTTGTAGCAGTCTTAGATCTTTCCTATATATATCAAGCTTTTTCATCTCTTCAAAAAGTTCTGAATGTTTTACTTTATCAAAAGCCTTTGAATAATCAATAAAACACATGTACACATCCTTTTGCATTTCAACTGCTCTCTCCGTTATATTTCTAACCACAAATATTGCATTTCTTGTGGCCGCATCCTTTACAAAACCAAATTGTTCCCTTCCGACCATGGGAGCTATTCTACTTCTTGCTCTCAAAAGCAAAATCCTCAAAATGATCTTAGTGATATGGCAAATAAGGCTGATTGTCCTATATTGCTCACAATCCACGGCTTCCGGTTTCTTTGGGAGAGTAATGAAAATGGATCTGCCCAATTCATCTGGAAATGTTCCGTCATTATATATTTTGTTAATAATTTCTGTTAATCTATCAACACCATATTCCTCTAATGCTTCAAACATTTCAGTGACCACACCATCTGGTCCAGCTGCTTTGTTCTTCTTCATCTTCTTCATCTTTGACATTGCCCAAAAGTAACCATGTTTAATGGTTAATGTCTTTGATTCGTATTCGCTTTGAAAATACAATGCCTGAGAAAGAATGAATTAATCAACTTTGTTGGAAACTTATCAATGAAATAAATGAGAAGAGTCTCAATTATTTCTTTGGAAAAATAGATGTCAAAGCAACTTTTTATTTTCATTTGTGCTCTTGAGCCTACTCGCACCAATGCTCATATTCACCCCATATATGAAAATGAGGCAGTTTTGGTAAAGAATTTATTTTTATTTTCCAGTGTGATGATGGTTGAGAATCTTTGTCTCTTTTCGTTTCCCCTTGATTTAAGTGAGTCGATATCTAAGCGAGACAAACATATCACTAAAGATGTTTATTAAGGTTGAATTGAAAAAAATATGCTTTTTTGGAATGTTTTTTTTATTGGGGGGGGGGGGCATTACAATGCTGGATAATCGCACATACATGAACAAATATCTTGTCCCCCTCCTAGACAATGAGAATGCAGTCTTCAGTGGATGCCCAGGTGATCAGAATGTCAACACAGACAGTGGCAGGGCTACAGCAGTAGTAAAATGGACACCACCTACAGCAACAGATAACTCTGGTAACCAGACGCTGACATCTTCGCACAATCCTGGAGACTACTTTCCTCTTGGAAATACAACAGTGAACTACACATCAACAGATACTGCAGGAAATATAGAAATGTGTACCTTTCTTATAACTGTGGCTGGTAAGTTTGTGAAATAAAGACGAAATGAAATGAAAAAGTGAAGTTTACAAGATCATTAGTTGTATTTTAAACTCGGTGTCATTTCCTCTTCAGTTTTCCCTTTTTCCCTTCATTCTTCTGCCTTTTCTTTTCAGCTTTTCTTTTATTACGATCTTTGAAGTTTTTCTACTTCTGGGGCAATTTAGTAATATAAAAGCAAATGTCAGTTCACGGTTTGTCAAGAATCGATTCATGGATTCAGGCCAAACTTAGGTCAAGCATGTATCTTGTAGAGCCAATGAATTGATTAGATTTTTGGGTCACCAGCTCAAAGGTCACAGGGCTCATTATGTATGCAAAAATAGCTTGTGATCGTATTATCATGAGAACCGAAGGACAAATTCCCTTAAACTCGGGACATGTATGTATCTTGATGAGACAATGAAATGATTAGATTTTGGGGTCATGAGGTCAAAGATCAAAGGGTCATACATGTATATGAAAGATAAGCGCCGATGCTAAATTCCCACAAAATAATACAACTGCCAGGAAGAATCATCACTAGGTTTGAACTTGAAAATTTTGTTTTGCTGTGCGGCTTCATGCGAAAATGTTATGGTGTCAAAATGTACATGTTTACAGCACTAACTATGTGAAAGTACAGGCTTTCATTTGAAATGGGATCTGGGCCTATAGCTCAATCGCAGTTCTTGTTGACCAGGGAGTCATGTTGGATTTTTCTTTGGAGGAGGGGAGGGGAGTTGAAATAAATAGATCATTCAAACTCTCTTTACTGTTGCCTCGACAGACAAAGGATTCCAACCTCAGATTGAAATTTAGGATCTCAATAGATAATGCCAGAATGGATTGAATTGTAGGGTAAAGAAATTCCAGAACCCCTCTTCTGTATGCAGTATTACCATTGTAATATCCTAGACTTGGAAAATGAACTACAGTCTGCCATTCTTACTTAGCTGTAAGTTTATTAATTCTTGCCTCTGTGTCTATGTGTGTGTGTGTGTTTTGTAGATAATGAAGTCCCGTTGATATCTGGATGCATTAGCACTCTCACTTCGAACGCGCTGCCTGGTCAGGCCTTTGACAACTTAAACTGGGTCGAACCAACAGCCACCGACAACGCTGGGCAGGTCAATATGACGGGCACTCATGTTCCAGGGGCCATGTATTACATCGGAGACACAACGGTCACATTCACAGCTGTAGATGATTCTGGGAACATCGCAATGTGTATCTTTGTTATTACAATACTTGGTGAGTTTTAAAGCTGCGATCATATTTTATGGATGATATAAGTCGTTCTAAAGGATCTTTGTTAAACTATTGTGTTGTTAATGTGCTCTTATACACGTAGTTTTCACCAATCTCAATAAGGATTGTTCACTAAGATTACTTACTTTACATTTTGTTTTTGAACAGATATGGAAGATCCAGTCCTTATGGGCTGTATGTCATCTGATATTGTTACCAACACCACAACCGGGCAGCCAGTGGCCCTGGTCAATTATGGTGTTCCAACAGCTACAGATAACTCTGGGGCAATCACTGCAAACTTGACTTCAGGTCTTCCCCCAGGAAACTTTTCTATTGGTAACACCTTGGTCATGTATACAGCAGCTGATCCATCTGGGAACAGCGTATCATGTAATTCCTTCTATGTCAATGTGTCTGGTAAGTGTAATCTGAACACCATTTTTTTTCATGGCTCACAATTCTTGACCAAAATTCAGGAGCTTTGCTCCCATATCTTGGTTTAAGGGTGCAGTATAGTAAAAACATAGTATTTACTACATGTATTTCCTGAAAATTCTATTCTGGTATACCAGCTGAAGAAATGAAAATGATAGACATTTTCTAGCTTCTAATTAAGTTGATTTTTAGGTACAGTCAGAAAGGGGTTAGTTCTCTGTAATGTAAATGCATTAATGCCCTTCTGGCTCCAAACAGGATAATATTGTCTATTTTTTAATGACTTAAAGGAAACCAAAACCTTCATACTAAGTTACTTTTATTGTAAAGTTTAAGATATTTGAAACATATCATTGAAATTTGAACAAAATCGGGCAAGGAATAAGGAAGTAAGAGCTTTTTGAAATGACTAGTCAATAGAGGGCGGTATTCAATTTGATGACATCATCTGTGGACAACTCTCCATGCCTTTTGTACATCAAATTTCATGTTTTTCCTTCTTTCTTGTGATTGAGATAATGTACTCCCCCGAAAGCAAGATATAGAATGCAAAATGATATTCTACTTCACATGTTATGAAGTCGGATCAGAACACAAATAAATACGAAAAAAACAAAAAATTGTGAAATTGTATATACAAAAGGCATGGAGAGTTGTTCACAGATGATGTCATCAAATTGAATACCGCCCTCTAGTGACTAGTCATTTCAAGAAGCTCTTACTTCCTTATTCCTTGCCCGATTTTGTTCAAATTTTCACTGATTTTATAAAGAATTGCGAAAGTTTGAAATAAATTGGACCAATATTAAGAAGTTATGAGTGTTTGAAATGTGAGCTCACTACAGCTGTGTGAATCTCAATTCGGCAATTTTGTCAGTGGATTGTGACGCAGTTACGGATTACTCTCCCTTTTTGTCGATACTAAAAAATCACTTATTTCTTGTTTTCTTCCAAGTGCCTTCGCCCTCAGGCACTATTTAAAATATATCATGGAGAGTACATTATTACAGGTCCTCAAAAAAGAACAGACCATCCCGAGTCATACATTTATGAAAAGTTGAAATTTTAGTCCTTTTGTGTATTGGAGCAAATGGGAAAGTTGTACGCCACTACATCACATAGACATTATCAATTCAGCCAATTTGAAGAGCTCTTACCTATAGTAATTGCAATTTTCAAAAAAATCATAACTTTCACATTTTTTGTCCGATTTCATTCAAACTTTCACCAATATGCTTCTCTGATTTTTCTGCTTTATTCTAGACAAAAAGTTTTTTCTATCAAGGTTGGATTTCCCTTAAACATTTACGTTTTGTCATATTAAACAGACAATGAGGATCTAGTCCAGACCCAGATTTTTTTCCATGTGAATCACCTCAACAATTTTGAAGAAAAATCCTGAACAGATGACATTGGTTTCATAACATGATCAACCCTTTTTTTGGTGAATTATTTGCAGATGTGGAAGCACCAGTCCTGGTTTGCCCCAGCAACATCGTTAACAACACAGAACCTGGCTTGAACACTGCAAATGTGACCTGGTCGGAGCCGACATATACTGATAACTCTGGCCGGGTGAGGGTTTCTCCCGATTATCCCTCTGGGGCTACGTTTGGCATAATCACGGCCACCGTGGTTACATACACTGCTGTGGATGATTCAGGAAACATGGCAACATGTTCCTTCAATGTGACAGTGATTGGTAAGCGTAGACATCAAAAAATTAAATCACCCTCGCATTTCAACCATTATTACATAGGGCTTGACGCTGACTTTAGCCCAAGGCCGGCAAATCACTTAAAATGTATTTTGTCATCTAGTATTCTAACAAGAGTAGCATGTATAATAAAACATCATTGGTCTTGACAATATCTATAGAATAACTACTCTACGTCAGGTAAAGAAAAAGAACTTTTTTGTTAGTGCTCCGAGTAATGTCATTCCTCCGCTACAAAGTAGCCGGAGGCATTATGTTTTCGGGTTGTCCGTACGTACATATGTCCCGTTCTCGTGATCGCGTTATCTCAAGAACCCATTGATGGATTCCCGCCAAACTTGGTCATCTATGTATCTTGCAGAGCCAACATACTGATTAGATTTTTGGGTAACGAGTACAAATGTCAAATGTCACAGGGCTCACGTAAGCAAAATAGCTCGCTTCTGTTTTGGTTTGTAAAATAACTCCATGGCGGAGGCATCATTTTCGACTGCGCGCGGTCGAAGGTCCATCTAGATATTTGTTGTATGCAAACAATCCAGCAGACCTCAATAGTCAACATTATCTCTTGATCAGAATAAATTGGAATCATTTGTGTAAATCATTTTATGGCATTCTTTGCTCTAAAACTAAATATTATGTACAAAATAATATGTAAAGGTCCTACGTAGAACCTTGTGGAACACCAACGTTTATGTTCTTGGTACTACATGTGCAGGATTATCTACTTATTCATTAGACATTACGCTCATTTAATTAAAGGACCTGTGAACCGACTTCGAGCCATACCACAAAAAGTGCCATATTTTATTTGAGTAATATTTGATGAACAACACAAATCAACATTTAATAGATTTATACACCCGTTTTATAAAATTTAAAAATATGACAAGTATTTTCAAGTAACCATGTTTGTTAGTTTCCTTCTGTAATTTCTAATCCCTTTGAAAATACAATACTTGAGAAAGAATGAATTAATCAACTTTGTTGAAAGCTAATCAATGAAATAAATGGGGAAAAAAGGCTTAATTATTTCTTTGGAAAATACATATCAAAGGATTTCTTTTTTTTTTAAAATTATTTATATATTTTTTTTTAGCTCTTTAGGCTTCCGGTACTCGCACCAACGTTCATATACCCCCATAAGTGCTGTTTTATGACGAGATATATGAAAATGAAAAGGTTTTGCTAAAGAAATACTTTTATTTCAGGTGTGGTCAAATGATTGAGAATCCTCATTCCTTTCCCCTTGATTTAAGTGATTATGTCTAAGGGAGAAAAATGTATGACTAGTAGATGTTATTTAAGGTTGAATTTAAAACAATATGCTTTTTTTCAGCCAACTTCAAAATTTAAAAGAATTTGGAATATGTTTTTGTATGGGGGGGGGGGGGGGGTTAGAATGCTGTATAATCACACATACATGAACAAATATCTTGTCCTCCTCCCAGACAATGAGAATCCAGTCATCAGTGGATGCCCAAGTGATCAGAATGTCAACACAGACAATGGTAATGCCACAGCTGTAATAACCTGGATGCCGCCAACAGCATCAGATAACTCTGGTAACCAGACACTGACATCCTCCCACAATCCTGGAGATCCCTTTCCTATTGGAAACACCACAGTGAAATACAAATCAACAGATGCTGCTGGAAAAACAGACACATGTATTTTCTTTGTGGTCGTAACAGGCAAGTGTATAGAGAGGTTTTTTTTTTTTTTTTTTTTTTTTTTTTTTTTGTATACGTGTTGCAAAATGTTAACAATAGCATCATCAAATATTTTGTGAAATTTGCTGAAACAGCAGACTCTCATTGCTGTGGGCAAATCAAGTGTTTCACTGTAAAAGAAATGACTAAATAAGTGATTGACTGAATAAGTTACTCAGTCACTCTAATTTTCACTTGCACTTTAAGTTAGTGATTTCTGTTTCTACGAGTACAAATTACAAATTATCAAGATCTCTCATGTACATAATATTTGTTCATTTGCATATAGAAGCTAGTCAAAATTGACTGTTTTTAGCACAATGACTTTCATAAAGTAGTATACATAAGTATCATTAAATTGTTATTTCAAAATGTGAATTGATTGATTTTATCTCCATTGTCCTCAGATTAAAAAATATGCAAACACCTTTATTTCTTATCTTTTGATAGACAATGAGAATCCAGTCATCAGTGGATGCCCGACCGATCAGAGTGTCAACACAGACAGTGGCAGGGCTACAGCAGTAGTAAAATGGACACCACCTACAGCAACAGATAACTCTGGTAACCAGACGCTGACATCCACTGACAATCCTGGAGATTCCTTTCCTATTGGAAACAACACAGTGACCTACACATCAAAAGATGCAGCAGGAAATACAGACACATGTACCTTTTATATATCTGTGACTGGTAAGTAACCATGAAAATTGCTATAGGTGAAATATGTATAGTCATGCCCTTGCTGGGGGCTACTAAACTATCATTCCCGCCTTGCGGCTCGGGATGATAGTAGCCCCGAGATCACCTCGGCATTGATAGTTTGTACCATTACCCTCTTAGTCGGTTATTATTAGTTTATTATAAATTCTTATTTTTTGAAGATTAAATTGATATAGACTAATGCATAGTTCCCAGAAAGACCCATTATATCTTTACATCAGTAAATTTGTTATTTTTGTTGTTAGAATTAAAAAGTGTACAATATGTTTTAGTACGATAATTTTGTATTTGTTATATGCTTACAATCTAGAAGACCTTGATATCTCTTGATCAGAATTACTAGGATTATTTGTGTAAATCATTTCATGGCATTCTTCGCTCTAAAACTGATCATTATATACAAAATAAAATGTATAGGTCCTACCACAGAACCTTGTGGAACACCAATATTTATGTTGTTGGTACTACATGTGCAGGATTATTTACTTATTTATGGAAACATTGCACTCAGTAAAATAAAGGACCTGTAAACCGACTTGGAGCCGTACCACAAACAGTGCCATATTGCAATTGAGTTATATTTGATGACCAACACACATCAACACTTTCAAAAGATTTTTACACCTGTCTTTATACAATTTAGAAATAGTACTTTCAAGGTACCATGTTTGATGGTGAGCTTCTGTAAATCCTAATTGCTTTGAAAATACAATGCTTGAGAAAGAATGAATTAATCAACTTTGTTGAAATCTTATCAATGAAATAAATGAAAAGAGTCTCAATTATTAATTTGGAAAAATACATGTCAAAACAATTTTTATTTTATTATTATTTATTGTTGTTGCTCTTTAGCCTTCTTTCACAAACGTTCATATTCACCCCAACAGTGCTGTCTTATGACGAGATATATGAAAATGAAATAGTTTTGCTAAAGAAATATTTTCATTTTCCAGTGTGGTTTGGTTGGGAATCTTTGTCTCCTCCCTTTCCCCTTGATTTAAGTGATTCAATGTCTGATATATCGGGAGTGTCAGGTCTGACAGACATGAGCGCTATACAAGAACCACCTATTATTATTATTAATAAGGAAAAACATGTAACCGGTAACTAATAGATGTTTACTAAAGGTTGAATTGAAAACAATATCCTTTTTTTTAGCCAACTTCAAAATGTTAAAAGAATTTGGAATATGTTTTTGTATTGGGGGGGGGGGGGGTTAGAATGCTGTATAATCACACATGAACAAATATCTTGTCCCCCTCCCAGACAATGAGAATCCAGTCATCAGTGGATGCCCAAGTGATCAGAATGTCAACACAGACAATGGTAATGCCACAGCTGTAGTAACCTGGATGCCGCCAACAGCATCAGATAACTCGGGTAACCAGACACTGACATCCTCCCACAATCCTGAAGATCCCTTTCCTATTGGAAACACCACAGTGAAATACACATCAACAGATGCTGCTGGAAATACAGACACATGTATTTTCTTTGTGATCGTAACAGGCAAGTGTATAGAGAGTTTTTGATTTTTATTCTTATACAAGTTGCAAAATTATTTAAACATATTTGTGGCTTACACCCAGTAAACAAGATCGATTGATTGATCTGTATTGAAAAACAGGTCAGAAAAAATCTTGGAACCAGCTTGCCAGGCAGCGACTGTTCCACCAAGCCATCACTGGTCCATGGCACAGTCATGATGAACTAGAATAAATACCTCAGCTCACCTGATTCATTCTGACTCATTAATATTCATTAGTCCGCCATAGGACAATAACTTTTATAAATGTAATGCTTCCTGGAAGAAATTTCAATTATTATATGTTTAAATAATTGAAATTTCTCCCAGGAAGCATTACATTTAAAAAAGAGTTGCAAAATGTTAACAATAGCATCATCAGATATTTTGTGAAATTTGCTGAAACAGCAGACTTTCATTGCTGTGGGCAATTCAAGTGGTCCCCTGCGTATGAAATGACTAAATTATTTACTGACTGAATAAGTTACCCAGTAGATCTAATTTTCATTTGCACATTAAGGTAGTGATCTGTTTTTCTAACAGTACAAATTATGAATTATCAAGATCTCTCATGTAGATGGGGATTGTTCATTTTCATGTACAAACTAGTCCTGCAAATTGGCTGTTTTAGCACATTGACTTTCAAAAAGCAGTGTACGTAAGTATCATTAAACAGTTATTTGAAAGGCCCTCTCATGAAATGCAAAATGTAAAGTGATTAATTTTATCTCCATTGTCATCAGATTCAAAAATTTTCAAACACCTTTATTTCTTATCTCTTGATAGACAATGAGAATCCAGTCATCAGAGGATGCCCGACCGATCAGAGTGTCAACACAGACCGTGGTAATGCTACAGCTGTAGTAACCTACACTACACCTACAGCAACAGATAACTCTGGTAACATGACCCTGACATCCACTAACAATCCTGGAGATTCCTTTCCTATTGGAAACAACACAGTGACCTACACATCAACAGATGCAGTAGGAAATACAGACACATGCACCTTTTATATATCTGTGACTGGTAAGTATTCATAATAATTGCTTTAGGTGACATAACCTTGCTACACAGGGGGGTGTATAGGTGAAGATAACCTTTATTATAAATTCATTTTATAGATAAATTTGTTATAGACTAATGAATAGTCCCTAGATTGAGTCACTATATTTTTACATCAGTAAATGTGTTAGAATTCAAAAGCGTACAACGCTTTTTTAAAAGATATGTTATATGCAAACAATCCAGCAGACCTCAATAGTCAACATTATCTCTTGATCAGAATAAATTGGAATCATTTGTGTAAATCATTTTATGGCATTCTTTGCTCTAAAACTAAATATTATGTACAAAATAATATGTAAAGGTCCTACGTAGAACCTTGTGGAACACCAACGTTTATGTTCTTGGTACTACATGTGCAGGATTATCTACTTATTCATTAGACATTACGCTCATTTAATTAAAGGACCTGTGAACCGACTTCGAGCCATACCACAAAAAGTGCCATATTTTATTTGAGTAATATTTGATGAACAACACAAATCAACATTTAATAGATTTATACACCCGTTTTATAAAATTTAAAAATATGACAAGTATTTTCAAGTAACCATGTTTGTTAGTTTCCTTCTGTAATTTCTAATCCCTTTGAAAATACAATACTTGAGAAAGAATGAATTAATCAACTTTGTTGAAAGCTAATCAATGAAATAAATGGGGAAAAAAGGCTTAATTATTTCTTTGGAAAATACATATCAAAGGATTTCTTTTTTTTTAAATAAATTTTTATATATTTTTTTTTAGCTCTTTAGGCTTCCGGTACTCGCACCAACGTTCATATACCCCCATAAGTGCTGTTTTATGACGAGATATATGAAAATGAAAAGGTTTTGCTAAAGAAATACTTTTATTTCAGGTGTGGTCAAATGATTGAGAATCCTCATTCCTTTCCCCTTGATTTAAGTGATTATGTCTAAGGGAGAAAAATGTATGACTAGTAGATGTTATTTAAGGTTGAATTTAAAACAATATGCTTTTTTTCAGCCAACTTCAAAATTTAAAAGAATTTGGAATATGTTTTTGTATGGGGGGGGGGGGTTAGAATGCTGTATAATCACACATACATGAACAAATATCTTGTCCTCCTCCCAGACAATGAGAATCCAGTCATCAGTGGATGCCCAAGTGATCAGAATGTCAACACAGACAATGGTAATGCCACAGCTGTAATAACCTGGATGCCGCCAACAGCATCAGATAACTCTGGTAACCAGACACTGACATCCTCCCACAATCCTGGAGATCCCTTTCCTATTGGAAACACCACAGTGAAATACACATCAACAGATGCTGCTGGAAAAACAGACACATGTATTTTCTTTGTGGTCGTAACAGGCAAGTGTATAGAGAGGTTTTTTTTTTTTTTTTTTTTTTTTTTTTTTTTGTATACGTGTTGCAAAATGTTAACAATAGCATCATCAAATATTTTGTGAAATTTGCTGAAACAGCAGACTCTCATTGCTGTGGGCAAATCAAGTGTTTCACTGTAAAAGAAATGACTAAATAAGTGATTGACTGAATAAGTTACTCAGTCACTCTAATTTTCACTTGCACTTTAAGTTAGTGATTTCTGTTTCTACGAGTACAAATTACAAATTATCAAGATCTCTCATGTACATAATATTTGTTCATTTGCATATAGAAGCTAGTCAAAATTGACTGTTTTTAGCACAATGACTTTCATAAAGTAGTATACATAAGTATCATTAAATTGTTATTTCAAAATGTGAATTGATTGATTTTATCTCCATTGTCCTCAGATTAAAAAATATGCAAACACCTTTATTTCTTATCTTTTGATAGACAATGAGAATCCAGTCATCAGTGGATGCCCGACCGATCAGAGTGTCAACACAGACAGTGGCAGGGCTACAGCAGTAGTAAAATGGACACCACCTACAGCAACAGATAACTCTGGTAACCAGACGCTGACATCCACTGACAATCCTGGAGATTCCTTTCCTATTGGAAACAACACAGTGACCTACACATCAAAAGATGCAGCAGGAAATACAGACACATGTACCTTTTATATATCTGTGACTGGTAAGTAACCATGAAAATTGCTATAGGTGAAATATGTATAGTCATGCCCTTGCTGGGGGCTACTAAACTATCATTCCCGCCTTGCGGCTCGGGATGATAGTAGCCCCGAGATCACCTCGGCATTGATAGTTTGTACCATTACCCTCTTAGTCGGTTAATATTAGTTTATTATAAATTCTTATTTTTTGAAGATTAAATTGATATAGACTAATGCATAGTTCCCAGAAAGACCCATTATATCTTTACATCAGTAAATTTGTTATTTTTGTTGTTAGAATTAAAAAGTGTACAATATGTTTTAGTACGATAATTTTGTATTTGTTATATGCTTACAATCTAGAAGACCTTGATATCTCTTGATCAGAATTACTAGGATTATTTGTGTAAATCATTTCATGGCATTCTTCGCTCTAAAACTGATCATTATATACAAAATAAAATGTATAGGTCCTACCACAGAACCTTGTGGAACACCAATATTTATGTTGTTGGTACTACATGTGCAGGATTATTTACTTATTTATGGAAACATTGCACTCAGTAAAATAAAGGACCTGTAAACCGACTTGGAGCCGTACCACAAACAGTGCCATATTGCAATTGAGTTATATTTGATGACCAACACACATCAACACTTTCAAAAGATTTTTACACCTGTCTTTATACAATTTAGAAATAGTACTTTCAAGGTACCATGTTTGATGGTGAGCTTCTGTAAATCCTAATCGCTTTGAAAATACAATGCTTGAGAAAGAATGAATAAATCAACTTTGTTGAAATCTTATCAATGAAATAAATGAAAAGAGTCTCAATTATTAATTTGGAAAAATACATGTCAAAACAATTTTTATTTTATTATTATTTATTGTTGTTGCTCTTTAGCCTTCTTTCACAAACGTTCATATTCACCCCAACAGTGCTGTCTTATGACGAGATATATGAAAATGAAATAGTTTTGCTAAAGAAATATTTTCATTTTCCAGTGTGGTTTGGTTGGGAATCTTTGTCTCCTCCCTTTCCCCTTGATTTAAGTGATTCAATGTCTGATATATCGGGAGTTTCAGGTCTGACAGACATGAGCGCTATACAAGAACCACCTATTATTATTATTAATAAGGAAAAACATGTAACCGGTAACTAATAGATGTTTACTAAAGGTTGAATTGAAAACAATATCCTTTTTTTTAGCCAACTTCAAAATGTTAAAAGAATTTGGAATATGTTTTTGTATTGGGGGGGGGGGGGGGGTTAGAATGCTGTATAATCACACATGAACAAATATCTTGTCCCCCTCCCAGACAATGAGAATCCAGTCATCAGTGGATGCCCAAGTGATCAGAATGTCAACACAGACAATGGTAATGCCACAGCTGTAGTAACCTGGATGCCGCCAACAGCATCAGATAACTCGGGTAACCAGACACTGACATCCTCCCACAATCCTGAAGATCCCTTTCCTATTGGAAACACCACAGTGAAATACACATCAACAGATGCTGCTGGAAATACAGACACATGTATTTTCTTTGTGATCGTAACAGGCAAGTGTATAGAGAGTTTTTGATTTTTATTCTTATACAAGTTGCAAAATTATTTAAACATATTTGTGGCTTACACCCAGTAAACAAGATCGATTGATTGATCTGTATTGAAAAACAGGTCAGAAAAAATCTTGGAACCAGCTTGCCAGGCAGCGACTGTTCCACCAAGCCATCACTGGTCCATGGCACAGTCATGATGAACTAGAATAAATACCTCAGCTCACCTGATTCATTCTGACTCATTAATATTCATTAGTCCGCCATAGGACAATAACTTTTATAAATGTAATGCTTCCTGGAAGAAATTTCAATTATTATATGTTTAAATAATTGAAATTTCTCCCAGGAAGCATTACATTTAAAAAAGAGTTGCAAAATGTTAACAATAGCATCATCAGATATTTTGTGAAATTTGCTGAAACAGCAGACTTTCATTGCTGTGGGCAATTCAAGTGGTCCCCTGCGTATGAAATGACTAAATTATTTACTGACTGAATAAGTTACCCAGTAGATCTAATTTTCATTTGCACATTAAGGTAGTGATCTGTTTTTCTAACAGTACAAATTATGAATTATCAAGATCTCTCATGTAGATGGGGATTGTTCATTTTCATGTACAAACTAGTCCTGCAAATTGGCTGTTTTAGCACATTGACTTTCAAAAAGCAGTGTACGTAAGTATCATTAAACAGTTATTTGAAAGGCCCTCTCATGAAATGCAAAATGTAAAGTGATTAATTTTATCTCCATTGTCATCAGATTCAAAAATTTTCAAACACCTTTATTTCTTATCTCTTGATAGACAATGAGAATCCAGTCATCAGAGGATGCCCGACCGATCAGAGTGTCAACACAGACCGTGGTAATGCTACAGCTGTAGTAACCTACACTACACCTACAGCAACAGATAACTCTGGTAACATGACCCTGACATCCACTAACAATCCTGGAGATTCCTTTCCTATTGGAAACAACACAGTGACCTACACATCAACAGATGCAGTAGGAAATACAGACACATGCACCTTTTATATATCTGTGACTGGTAAGTATTCATAATAATTGCTTTAGGTGACATAACCTTGCTACACAGGGGGGTGTATAGGTGAAGATAACCTTTATTATAAATTCATTTTATAGATAAATTTGTTATAGACTAATGAATAGTCCCTAGATTGAGTCACTATATTTTTACATCAGTAAATGTGTTAGAATTCAAAAGCGTACAACGCTTTTTTAAAAGATATGTTATATGCAAACAATCCAGCAGACCTCAATAGTCAACATTATCTCTTGATCAGAATAAATTGGAATCATTTGTGTAAATCATTTTATGGCATTCTTTGCTCTAAAACTAAATATTATGTACAAAATAATATGTAAAGGTCCTACGTAGAACCTTGTGGAACACCAACGTTTATGTTCTTGGTACTACATGTGCAGGATTATCTACTTATTCATTAGACATTACGCTCATTTAATTAAAGGACCTGTGAACCGACTTCGAGCCATACCACAAAAAGTGCCATATTTTATTTGAGTAATATTTGATGAACAACACAAATCAACATTTAATAGATTTATACACCCGTTTTATAAAATTTAAAAATATGACAAGTATTTTCAAGTAACCATGTTTGTTAGTTTCCTTCTGTAATTTCTAATCCCTTTGAAAATACAATACTTGAGAAAGAATGAATTAATCAACTTTGTTGAAAGCTAATCAATGAAATAAATGGGGAAAAAAGGCTTAATTATTTCTTTGGAAAATACATATCAAAGGATTTCTTTTTTTTTAAATAAATTTTTTATATATTTTTTTTTAGCTCTTTAGGCTTCCGGTACTCGCACCAACGTTCATATACCCCCATAAGCGCTGTTTTATGACGAGATATATGAAAATGAAAAGGTTTTGCTAAAGAAATACTTTTATTTCCGGTGTGGTCAAATGATTGAGAATCCTCATTCCTTTCCCCTTGATTTAAGTGATTATGTCTAAGGGAGAAAAATGTATGACTAGTAGATGTTATTTAAGGTTGAATTTAAAACAATATGCTTTTTTTCAGCCAACTTCAAAATTTAAAAGAATTTGGAATATGTTTTTGTATGGGGGGGGGGGTTAGAATGCTGTATAATCACACATACATGAACAAATATCTTGTCCTCCTCCCAGACAATGAGAATCCAGTCATCAGTGGATGCCCAAGTGATCAGAATGTCAACACAGACAATGGTAATGCCACAGCTGTAATAACCTGGATGCCGCCAACAGCATCAGATAACTCTGGTAACCAGACACTGACATCCTCCCACAATCCTGGAGATCCCTTTCCTATTGGAAACACCACAGTGAAATACACATCAACAGATGCTGCTGGAAAAACAGACACATGTATTTTCTTTGTGGTCGTAACAGGCAAGTGTATAGAGAGGTTTTTTTTTTTTTTTTTTTTTTTTTTTTTTGTATACGTGTTGCAAAATGTTAACAATAGCATCATCAAATATTTTGTGAAATTTGCTGAAACAGCAGACTCTCATTGCTGTGGGCAAATCAAGTGTTTCACTGTAAAAGAAATGACTAAATAAGTGATTGACTGAATAAGTTACTCAGTCACTCTAATTTTCACTTGCACTTTAAGTTAGTGATTTCTGTTTCTACGAGTACAAATTACAAATTATCAAGATCTCTCATGTACATAATATTTGTTCATTTGCATATAGAAGCTAGTCAAAATTGACTGTTTTTAGCACAATGACTTTCATAAAGTAGTATACATAAGTATCATTAAATTGTTATTTCAAAATGTGAATTGATTGATTTTATCTCCATTGTCCTCAGATTAAAAAATATGCAAACACCTTTATTTCTTATCTTTTGATAGACAATGAGAATCCAGTCATCAGTGGATGCCCGACCGATCAGAGTGTCAACACAGACAGTGGCAGGGCTACAGCAGTAGTAAAATGGACACCACCTACAGCAACAGATAACTCTGGTAACCAGACGCTGACATCCACTGACAATCCTGGAGATTCCTTTCCTATTGGAAACAACACAGTGACCTACACATCAAAAGATGCAGCAGGAAATACAGACACATGTACCTTTTATATATCTGTGACTGGTAAGTAACCATGAAAATTGCTATAGGTGAAATATGTATAGTCATGCCCTTGCTGGGGGCTACTAAACTATCATTCCCGCCTTGCGGCTCGGGATGATAGTAGCCCCGAGATCACCTCGGCATTGATAGTTTGTACCATTACCCTCTTAGTCGGTTAATATTAGTTTATTATAAATTCTTATTTTTTGAAGATTAAATTGATATAGACTAATGCATAGTTCCCAGAAAGACCCATTATATCTTTACATCAGTAAATTTGTTATTTTTGTTGTTAGAATTAAAAAGTGTACAATATGTTTTAGTACGATAATTTTGTATTTGTTATATGCTTACAATCTAGAAGACCTTGATATCTCTTGATCAGAATTACTAGGATTATTTGTGTAAATCATTTCATGGCATTCTTCGCTCTAAAACTGATCATTATATACAAAATAAAATGTATAGGTCCTACCACAGAACCTTGTGGAACACCAATATTTATGTTGTTGGTACTACATGTGCAGGATTATTTACTTATTTATGGAAACATTGCACTCAGTAAAATAAAGGACCTGTAAACCGACTTGGAGCCGTACCACAAACAGTGCCATATTGCAATTGAGTTATATTTGATGACCAACACACATCAACACTTTCAAAAGATTTTTACACCTGTCTTTATACAATTTAGAAATAGTACTTTCAAGGTACCATGTTTGATGGTGAGCTTCTGTAAATCCTAATCGCTTTGAAAATACAATGCTTGAGAAAGAATGAATAAATCAACTTTGTTGAAATCTTATCAATGAAATAAATGAAAAGAGTCTCAATTATTAATTTGGAAAAATACATGTCAAAACAATTTTTATTTTATTATTATTTATTGTTGTTGCTCTTTAGCCTTCTTTCACAAACGTTCATATTCACCCCAACAGTGCTGTCTTATGACGAGATATATGAAAATGAAATAGTTTTGCTAAAGAAATATTTTCATTTTCCAGTGTGGTTTGGTTGGGAATCTTTGTCTCCTCCCTTTCCCCTTGATTTAAGTGATTCAATGTCTGATATATCGGGAGTTTCAGGTCTGACAGACATGAGCGCTATACAAGAACCACCTATTATTATTATTAATAAGGAAAAACATGTAACCGGTAACTAATAGATGTTTACTAAAGGTTGAATTGAAAACAATATCCTTTTTTTTAGCCAACTTCAAAATGTTAAAAGAATTTGGAATATGTTTTTGTATTGGGGGGGGGGGGGGGTTAGAATGCTGTATAATCACACATGAACAAATATCTTGTCCCCCTCCCAGACAATGAGAATCCAGTCATCAGTGGATGCCCAAGTGATCAGAATGTCAACACAGACAATGGTAATGCCACAGCTGTAGTAACCTGGATGCCGCCAACAGCATCAGATAACTCGGGTAACCAGACACTGACATCCTCCCACAATCCTGAAGATCCCTTTCCTATTGGAAACACCACAGTGAAATACACATCAACAGATGCTGCTGGAAATACAGACACATGTATTTTCTTTGTGATCGTAACAGGCAAGTGTATAGAGAGTTTTTGATTTTTATTCTTATACAAGTTGCAAAATTATTTAAACATATTTGTGGCTTACACCCAGTAAACAAGATCGATTGATTGATCTGTATTGAAAAACAGGTCAGAAAAAATCTTGGAACCAGCTTGCCAGGCAGCGACTGTTCCACCAAGCCATCACTGGTCCATGGCACAGTCATGATGAACTAGAATAAATACCTCAGCTCACCTGATTCATTCTGACTCATTAATATTCATTAGTCCGCCATAGGACAATAACTTTTATAAATGTAATGCTTCCTGGAAGAAATTTCAATTATTATATGTTTAAATAATTGAAATTTCTCCCAGGAAGCATTACATTTAAAAAAGAGTTGCAAAATGTTAACAATAGCATCATCAGATATTTTGTGAAATTTGCTGAAACAGCAGACTTTCATTGCTGTGGGCAATTCAAGTGGTCCCCTGCGTATGAAATGACTAAATTATTTACTGACTGAATAAGTTACCCAGTAGATCTAATTTTCATTTGCACATTAAGGTAGTGATCTGTTTTTCTAACAGTACAAATTATGAATTATCAAGATCTCTCATGTAGATGGGGATTGTTCATTTTCATGTACAAACTAGTCCTGCAAATTGGCTGTTTTAGCACATTGACTTTCAAAAAGCAGTGTACGTAAGTATCATTAAACAGTTATTTGAAAGGCCCTCTCATGAAATGCAAAATGTAAAGTGATTAATTTTATCTCCATTGTCATCAGATTCAAAAATTTTCAAACACCTTTATTTCTTATCTCTTGATAGACAATGAGAATCCAGTCATCAGAGGATGCCCGACCGATCAGAGTGTCAACATAGACCGTGGTAATGCTACAGCTGTAGTAACCTACACTACACCTACAGCAACAGATAACTCTGGTAACATGACCCTGACATCCACTAACAATCCTGGAGATTCCTTTCCTATTGGAAACAACACAGTGACCTACACATCAACAGATGCAGTAGGAAATACAGACACATGCACCTTTTATATATCTGTGACTGGTAAGTATTCATAATAATTGCTTTAGGTGACATAACCTTGCTACACAGGGGGGTGTATAGGTGAAGATAACCTTTATTATAAATTCATTTTATAGATAAATTTGTTATAGACTAATGAATAGTCCCTAGATTGAGTCACTATATTTTTACATCAGTAAATGTGTTAGAATTCAAAAGCGTACAACGCTTTTTTAAAAGATATGTTATATGCAAACAATCCAGCAGACCTCAATAGTCAACATTATCTCTTGATCAGAATAAATTGGAATCATTTGTGTAAATCATTTTATGGCATTCTTTGCTCTAAAACTAAATATTATGTACAAAATAATATGTAAAGGTCCTACGTAGAACCTTGTGGAACACCAACGTTTATGTTCTTGGTACTACATGTGCAGGATTATCTACTTATTCATTAGACATTACGCTCATTTAATTAAAGGACCTGTGAACCGACTTCGAGCCATACCACAAAAAGTGCCATATTTTATTTGAGTAATATTTGATGAACAACACAAATCAACATTTAATAGATTTATACACCCGTTTTATAAAATTTAAAAATATGACAAGTATTTTCAAGTAACCATGTTTGTTAGTTTCCTTCTGTAATTTCTAATCCCTTTGAAAATACAATACTTGAGAAAGAATGAATTAATCAACTTTGTTGAAAGCTAATCAATGAAATAAATGGGGAAAAAAGGCTTAATTATTTCTTTGGAAAATACATATCAAAGGATTTCTTTTTTTTAAAATAAATTTTTTATATATTTTTTTTAGCTCTTTAGGCTTCCGGTACTCGCACCAACGTTCATATACCCCCATAAGCGCTGTTTTATGACGAGATATATGAAAATGAAAAGGTTTTGCTAAAGAAATACTTTTATTTCCGGTGTGGTCAAATGATTGAGAATCCTCATTCCTTTCCCCTTGATTTAAGTGATTATGTCTAAGGGAGAAAAATGTATGACTAGTAGATGTTATTTAAGGTTGAATTTAAAACAATATGCTTTTTTTCAGCCAACTTCAAAATTTAAAAGAATTTGGAATATGTTTTTGTATGGGGGGGGGGGGGTTAGAATGCTGTATAATCACACATACATGAACAAATATCTTGTCCTCCTCCCAGACAATGAGAATCCAGTCATCAGTGGATGCCCAAGTGATCAGAATGTCAACACAGACAATGGTAATGCCACAGCTGTAATAACCTGGATGCCGCCAACAGCATCAGATAACTCTGGTAACCAGACACTGACATCCTCCCACAATCCTGGAGATCCCTTTCCTATTGGAAACACCACAGTGAAATACACATCAACAGATGCTGCTGGAAAAACAGACACATGTATTTTCTTTGTGGTCGTAACAGGCAAGTGTATAGAGAGGTTTTTTTTTTTTTTTTTTTTTTTTTTTGTATACGTGTTGCAAAATGTTAACAATAGCATCATCAAATATTTTGTGAAATTTGCTGAAACAGCAGACTCTCATTGCTGTGGGCAAATCAAGTGTTTCACTGTAAAAGAAATGACTAAATAAGTGATTGACTGAATAAGTTACTCAGTCACTCTAATTTTCACTTGCACTTTAAGTTAGTGATTTCTGTTTCTACGAGTACAAATTACAAATTATCAAGATCTCTCATGTACATAATATTTGTTCATTTGCATATAGAAGCTAGTCAAAATTGACTGTTTTTAGCACAATGACTTTCATAAAGTAGTATACATAAGTATCATTAAATTGTTATTTCAAAATGTGAATTGATTGATTTTATCTCCATTGTCCTCAGATTAAAAAATATGCAAACACCTTTATTTCTTATCTTTTGATAGACAATGAGAATCCAGTCATCAGTGGATGCCCGACCGATCAGAGTGTCAACACAGACAGTGGCAGGGCTACAGCAGTAGTAAAATGGACACCACCTACAGCAACAGATAACTCTGGTAACCAGACGCTGACATCCACTGACAATCCTGGAGATTCCTTTCCTATTGGAAACAACACAGTGACCTACACATCAAAAGATGCAGCAGGAAATACAGACACATGTACCTTTTATATATCTGTGACTGGTAAGTAACCATGAAAATTGCTATAGGTGAAATATGTATAGTCATGCCCTTGCTGGGGGCTACTAAACTATCATTCCCGCCTTGCGGCTCGGGATGATAGTAGCCCCGAGATCACCTCGGCATTGATAGTTTGTACCATTACCCTCTTAGTCGGTTAATATTAGTTTATTATAAATTCTTATTTTTTGAAGATTAAATTGATATAGACTAATGCATAGTTCCCAGAAAGACCCATTATATCTTTACATCAGTAAATTTGTTATTTTTGTTGTTAGAATTAAAAAGTGTACAATATGTTTTAGTACGATAATTTTGTATTTGTTATATGCTTACAATCTAGAAGACCTTGATATCTCTTGATCAGAATTACTAGGATTATTTGTGTAAATCATTTCATGGCATTCTTCGCTCTAAAACTGATCATTATATACAAAATAAAATGTATAGGTCCTACCACAGAACCTTGTGGAACACCAATATTTATGTTGTTGGTACTACATGTGCAGGATTATTTACTTATTTATGGAAACATTGCACTCAGTAAAATAAAGGACCTGTAAACCGACTTGGAGCCGTACCACAAACAGTGCCATATTGCAATTGAGTTATATTTGATGACCAACACACATCAACACTTTCAAAAGATTTTTACACCTGTCTTTATACAATTTAGAAATAGTACTTTCAAGGTACCATGTTTGATGGTGAGCTTCTGTAAATCCTAATCGCTTTGAAATACAATGCTTGAGAAAGAATGAATTAATCAACTTTGTTGAAATCTTATCAATGAAATAAATGAAAAGAGTCTCAATTATTAATTTGGAAAAATACATGTCAAAACAATTTTTATTTTATTATTATTTATTGTTGTTGCTCTTTAGCCTTCTTTCACAAACGTTCATATTCACCCCAACAGTGCTGTCTTATGACGAGATATATGAAAATGAAATAGTTTTGCTAAAGAAATATTTTCATTTTCCAGTGTGGTTTGGTTGGGAATCTTTGTCTCCTCCCTTTCCCCTTGATTTAAGTGATTCAATGTCTGATATATCGGGAGTGTCAGGTCTGACAGACATGAGCGCTATACAAGAACCACCTATTATTATTATTAATAAGGAAAAACATGCAACCGGTAACTAATAGATGTTTACTAAAGGTTGAATTGAAAACAATATCCTTTTTTTAGCCAACTTCAAAATGTTTAAAGAATTTGGAATATGTTTTTGTATTGGGGGGGGGGGGGTTAGAATGCTGTATAATCACACATGAACAAATATCTTGTCCCCCTCCCAGACAATGAGAATCCAGTCATCAGTGGATGCCCAAGTGATCAGAATGTCAACACAGACAATGGTAATGCCACAGCTGTAGTAACCTGGATGCCGCCAACAGCATCAGATAACTCGGGTAACCAGACACTGACATCCTCCCACAATCCTGAAGATCCCTTTCCTATTGGAAACACCACAGTGAAATACACATCAACAGATGCTGCTGGAAATACAGACACATGTATTTTCTTTGTGATCGTAACAGGCAAGTGTATAGAGAGTTTTTGATTTTTATTCTTATACGAGTTGCAAAATTATTTAAACATATTTGTGGCTTACACCCAGTAAACAAGATCGATTGATTGATCTGTATTGAAAAACAGGTCAGAAAAAATCTTGGAACCAGCTTGCCAGGCAGCGACTGTTCCACCAAGCCATCACTGGTCCATGGCACAGTCATGATGAACTAGAATAAATACCTCAGCTCACCTGATTCATTCTGACTCATTAATATTCATTAGTCCGCCATAGGACAATAACTTTTATAAATGTAATGCTTCCTGGAAGAAATTTCAATTATTATATGTTTAAATAATTGAAATTTCTCCCAGGAAGCATTACATTTAAAAAAGAGTTGCAAAATGTTAACAATAGCATCATCAGATATTTTGTGAAATTTGCTGAAACAGCAGACTTTCATTGCTGTGGGCAAATCAAGTGGTCCCCTGCGTATGAAATGACTAAATTATTTACTGACTGAATAAGTTACCCAGTAGATCTAATTTTCATTTGCACATTAAGGTAGTGATCTGTTTTTCTAACAGTACAAATTATGAATTATCAAGATCTCTCATGTAGATGGGGATTGTTCATTTTCATGTACAAACTAGTCCTGCAAATTGGCTGTTTTAGCACATTGACTTTCATAAAGCAGTGTACGTAAGTATCATTAAATAGTTTTTTGAAAGGCCCTCTCATGAAATGCAAAATGTAAAGTGATTAATTTTATCTCCATTGTCATCAGATTCAAAAATTTTCAAACACCTTTATTTCTTATCTCTTGATAGACAATGAGAATCCAGTCATCAGAGGATGCCCGACCGATCAGAGTGTCAACACAGACCGTGGTAATGCTACAGCTGTAGTAACCTACACTGCACCTACAGCAACAGATAACTCTGGTAACATGACCCTGACATCCACCAACAATCCTGGAGATTCCTTTCCTATTGGAAACAACACAGTGACCTACACATCAACAGATGCAGTAGGAAATACAGACACATGCACCTTTTATATATCTGTGACTGGTAAGTATTCATAATAATTGCTTTAGGTGACATAACCTTGCTACACAGGGGGGTGTATAGGTGAAGATAACCTTTATTATAAATTCATTTTATAGATAAATTTGTTATAGACTAATGAATAGTCCCTAGATTGAGTCACTATATTTTTACATCAGTAAATGTGTTAGAATTCAAAAGCGTACAACGCTTTTTTAAAAGATATGTTATATGCAAACAATCCAGCAGACCTCAATAGTCAACATTATCTCTTGATCAGAATAAATTGGAATCATTTGTGTAAATCATTTTATGGCATATTCTTTGCTCTAAAACTAAATATTATGTACAAAATAATATGTAAAGGTCCTACGTAGAACCTTGTGGAACACCAACGTTTATGTTCTTGGTACTACATGTGCAGGATTATCTACTTATTCATTAGACATTGCGCTCATTTAATTAAAGGACCTCTGAACCGACTTGGAGCCGTACCACAAAAAGTGCCATATTTTATTTGAGAAATATTTGATGAACAACACAAATCAACACTTAAAAGATTTATACACCCGTTTTATAAAACTTAAAAATATGACAAGTATTTTCAAGTAACCATGTTTGTTAGTTACCTTCTGTAATTTCTAATCCCTTTGAAAATACAATACTTGAGAAAGAATGAATTAATCAACTTTGTTGAAAGCTAATCAATGAAATAAAAGGGAAAAAAAGGCTTAATTATTTCTTTGGAAAATACATATCAAAGGATTTCTTTTTTTTTAAATAAATTTTTTATATATTTTTTTTTAGCTCTTTAGGCTTCCGGTACTCGCACCAACGTTCATATACCCCCATAAGTGCTGTTTTATGACGAGATATATGATAATGAAAAGGTTTTGCTAAAGAAATACTTTTATTTCCAGTGTGGTCAAATGATTGAGAATCCTCATTCCTTTCCCCTTGATTTAAGTGATTATGCCTAAGGGAGAAAAATGTATGACTAGTAGATGTTATTTAAGGTTGAATTTAAAGCAATATGCTTTTTTTCAGCCTACTTCAAAATTTAAAAGAATTTGGAATATGTTTTTGTATTGGGGGGGGGGGTTAGAATGCTGTATAATCACACATACATGAACAAATATCTTGTCCTCCTCCCAGACAATGAGAATCCAGTCATCAGTGGATGCCCAAGTGATCAGAATGTCAACACAGACAATGGTAATGCCACAGCTGTAGTAACCTGGATGCGGCCAACAGCATCAGATAACTCTGGTAACCAGACACTGACATCCTCCCACAATCCTGGAGATCCCTTTCCTATTGGAAACACCACAGTGAAATACACATCAACAGATGCTGCTGGAAAAACAGACACATGTATTTTCTTTGTGGTCGTTACAGGCAAGTGTATAGAGAGTTTTTTTTTTTTTTTTTTTTTTTTTTTTTGTATACGTGTTGCAAAATGTTAACAATAGCATCATCAAATATTTTGTGAAATTTGCTGAAACAGCAGACTCTCATTGCTGTGGGCTAATCAAGTGTTTCACTGTAAAAGAAATGACTAAATAAGTGATTGACTGAATAAGTTACTCAGTCACTCTAATTTTCACTTGCACTTTAAGTTAGTGATTTCTGTTTCTACGAGTACAAATTACAAATTATCAAGATCTCTCATGTACATAATATTTGTTCATTTGCATATAGAAGCTAGTCAAAATTGACTGTTTTTAGCACAATGACTTTCATAAAGTAGTATACATAAGTATCATTAAATTGTTATTTCAAAATGTGAATTGATTGATTTTATCTCCATTGTCCTCAGATTGAAAAATATGCAAACACCTTTATTTCTTATCTTTTGATAGACAATGAGAATCCAGTCATCAGTGGATGCCCGAAGCCCAAGGCCGGCAAATCACTTAAAATGTATTTTGTCATCTAGTATTCTAACAAGAGTAGCATGTATAATAAAACATCATTGGTCTTGACAATATCTATAGAATAACTACTCTACGTCAGGTAAAGAAAAAAAACTTTTTTGTTAGTGCTCCGAGTAATGTCATTCCCATTTCTGGTTTCATTTTCATCCCTCCATCAGATGTGGAGCTTCCCACCGTCAGCCCTTGTCCCTCAGACATCGTGGTACAGCAGGACAGTGGCACTAACAACGCCACCGTGGCCTTCAGCAACGTTACCATCGCTGACAATGATGCGGTCATCTACTCCAACTATACCCACAACTCTGGGGACACCTTCCTGATTGGTAGCACCCAGGTTACCATCTATGCTGAGGACGCGTCTGGGAATAACAACACCTGTCAGTTTATGGTCACTGTCCGAGGTATGTCGCGCACATCCAAACACAGCTGAAAAGTAGTGTACACACGCGTCAGAAAATTGGAACAAATTCTTCAAATTTCTCAACTGGTATACTCCTTCATATTTATATATTGATTATAGTGTGGAAATTATTTCCTTCTTGAAATTTCACTTGCATTGGGATGACAGTATCTAATAGAGACATTTCTAGCATTCAATTATTTTTGCAACTATTTGGGAATCTAAAACTAGGGGCTACGGGTTATCACTCTTTCACTTTCTCTCTCTCCATCTGCAGACACCGAGGATCCTGTAATTGGCTGTCTGTCTGACATCACAGTAAACTCGACAGCAGGACAGTCAAATGCCATAGTGAGCTGGACTCCCCCTAATGCCACCGATAACTCTGGGAGCTATGAGCTGACCTTCAATACAGCTGTTGGAGCAAGTTTTGAGATTGGCAGTTTTGAAGTGATTTACATAGCGTCAGATGACGCAGGCAACACTGACAGATGTACATTCTTTGTCAATGTGGAAGGTGAGAAAAGTCTGTCAATGTTCTCTTGAGAAAAAGAACCCCAGCCCAGCACTATCGTCCTTTGGCAAGACATTACCTCTTCATTTTCCACTCTCCACCTAGCTGTAAATAGGTACATGATATGCTTGAGCTCTATTTACTTTAGAGGCTCAACTATAACCTGGGTTATAATGTCAAAGTGCCCGGAATGTTACAACATAACAAATCATTTTTTCATGTGAAATACCAAATACAGAATGATGTGACCATAGATAGAACTGTGTTTTATGTAGACATGTAAAAATGTATCCCAGTCACTCTTTTTTATATCAGGAAGAACCCCCCCCCCCCCTCCTTCCTCCTTCCCCCACACAAAAATGACAAGCTCTCTCTCTCTCTGTTTCTTTTCCAGATCCTGAGGACCCAGTGTTCACTTTCTGTCCAACCAATCAAGAGGTCTTTGCTTTTAACAATGTGAGCGTTGAGTGGCTGACACCAGCAGTGACGGATAACTCTGTTGGGCCCATCACTTTAACATCTAATTATGCCAACGGCACCGAATTTGCAGTAGGCAACTATACAGTCACATACACAGCAACTGATCCATCCTCTAACTCTGCAACATGTTCCTTCATAGTTCAAGTTTATGGTAAGTGATTTCCATGGTTAAAGCTCATATATCTTTATAGAGAGTGTGAGAATGATCTGTTGTTTTTTGTTGTTGTTGTCCCCCCCCCCCCCCCTTGTATTACCCCCACTCTAAGAGCTGGTAGGAATATAGCAGTTCCTGTATTTTACTCACCAGTTGTCATAACATTCATTTGGTGCACCTGCTTGCATGCATCACAGTACAACACAAAAGGCATGTCTAAAAGGTAAAAGCCTTAGGGGAATATCAACACATTGGATAGGTGAGCACAGGTCAATAATTTTACATTTTTATAAATATGAAACCCAACTTAAACATCATGGTCTGTATTCTACTAATTAAGTTAAATCTGACCAGGGGTCCAACTTCACATTTAGCGAAGGAAACCTCATGCAGACTCACTTTTGTGAAACCTGATTTTGGACAAAAGCTTAAACCCACATCAGGTTTAATTCATTTGGTAGAGTAAGCCAGCTATATAGGGCGATGTGTAAAAATTTAAAGTATGGTTTGGCCATAAACTGCTGTTCCCGCCATCCATCTAGTTTCTGTAACATGAAACCACAGTGTATTAAACCTAATGCGCAATTTTCCCTCACAATTCTCAGCAAATGATTCAGTGATACCATTGGTCATGTGCCCCAGCGATATCATGGTAGACACCTTCAGTGGTGTGGACTACCGAAATGTAAGCTGGGGAGCTCTGACATATTCTGACAACATGGAGGTGGTGTCTGTGGAGTCAAACTATCTCAACGACAGCTCTCCGTTTTACCTCGGTACCACGGTGGTCATGTATAACGTGACCGACCGAGCTGGCAACACTGCTTCCTGCGACTTTTCAGTGACTGTGCAAGGTGAGAAATTCCGGATTGATATGATTATATATTCTAACTTCAATGAACCTAAAAAAAACGTCACATCAGAGTCATATGATTTCAGGGAATGCAAAGAATTTGCTAATTTGCACTCGTTCGTGTATTTACTAAAATCGGATAGAATCGGATAAAGTTGGGGTAGTGTAGTCACACCCAGGGATGGGGCAAGAGACGACAGGCATGGTTCATAGTCACCGTGATCATAAATAAGATCTGGCTATTTGTGTCAGTCGATCAGTAGACTTCAACAATGATCACGGTCTGTAAACAAATGAGATAAAAGAAGATACCCTTAATTAAGATCAAACTATAACATAATCATCTCAGAATGATATTAAAAAGGAAAAGATAAATCAATGATGCATTATCCATATCTACACTTTTCATTTATAGTCTGTAAAATGCATAGCAGGGACAAAAAACTTATGAAAATGACTATAAAATTTGGTCCCATTTTCTCTTTGCAGACAACGAAGACCCTGCTCTGTTGAACTGTCCTTCAGACATCTCCCAACCTGCTGACACTGGACTGTCCGATACCGCAGTCAACTGGACCGCAGCCAATGCCACTGATAATTCTGGCTCCGTTTCTCTCAGTGTCGATATGGCATCAGGGACAAGATTTCCCATTGGCACCACCCTGGTCACATACACAGCAAATGATGGAGATAAAAATATGGCCACATGCTCCTTTAATGTCACAGTCACAGGTAATTCAGCCTATCAAATCATTTTGAAAGACCGTTTTCCGTGTACCATGCACTATATTGACTTTGCCAGGAAGATTCTAGTAGGCTGACCTGTTCACTGTGGCCCCGTAGTTTTTTTTCTTTATATCGAACGGTTACATTTATAGAAGTGACTGAAGAAGTTATTAACATTGCAAATGCATTTTGCTCAGCGAATTTTTGAATATGATAGCATTTACTTTTGTTGGATTGTTCATCTTGATACAGGCATTACCGGTACTTGCTCTTTGTGTCTAACTTTACAACTCACAAATCTGTTTTTTATAATTTCAAGATGAAAAGGCTGAAATGATATACAAAGTACATGCTAATTACAAACCATCTTGTGCACTTGTTCATGATCTTGGTCTACAGATGTACCTGAATAGTTTTTTTTTAATTTATCCATTTTCCATCTCGTCCAGATGATCAAGCCCCTACGTTCATGACCTGTCCAAGTAACATTACTGTGGGTACCGATGCGAATGAGAACACTGCAAACGTAACGTTGAACGCTGTCTATTTCATTGATAACTCTGGAAGTGTGAACGTGTCTAAGACCCACACCTCTGGGGACACCTTCCCACTAGGCACGACCAATGTCATCATCACAGCCACGGACCCGTCTGGGAATGAGGCATTGTGTCAGTACAGTGTATCTGTCTATGGTAAGCAGATTTGGGTATGGTGTTTGAATCGCCTTCCTGTGACATCATTCATACAGAGCCTGTAGAAGTTGTAATTTATTAATGAAGAAATGAATGTTTTGCCTCCCTGTGCTCTAAGAATAGAGTCCAGATCATTTAATCTAATAATGAAAAATGCTAGCCATTCTTTGTTTCAGACCACTTGACCACTCATATGAGAAAAATTTGCATTTTGAGGGGTTTTCCAAAAGATGTAAACGGGGTATCATTACCTGAACATTTACCTTCATCTAGAGTCTGAACAAAAACTTGGATACATTGAATACTTTAATACATCGTTAAATTATCCTATGAAATGGATGAAGTTTTGAACATGTGTATTTTTTATTAATCAAATGAATAATAATCAAATCAAAAGAGTTAATGTATTTTGCAATGATGATTCTATTAAATCAAATGCAATAGTTATTTCCTCTAATAATGGAGAGGAATTAAAGAATGAAATATGTTACAGCTACTGAAATGACATGAATCCTTCCCAACCTGTGTCTTGTAAAGATGATGAGGCTCCCATGTACGATGTTTGCCCGTCGGACATGAGTGTGTTTGCTGATGCCGGATCTACAAACGCCACGGTCAACATCACAAATATCAACTTCAGTGACAATGCGACGCCTCCCACTCGCCTAACTCTGAACACCAGCCATCAACCCCGGCCCGTGCTAGATATTGGACCGCACATCATCAATTCTACGGCGACCGATAGTGCAGGGCTTGTAGGATACTGCACATATACTGTCACTGTCATAGGTACTAACAACTTCTTCTTGTGCAGTTAAACGTAGTTCAACAACCACGTGTATAGAAAATTCACCTGTCTGTAAAGACCACTTTTTTACAAAGCTTGAATGTTTCCTATTGAAAAATGATTATGATCATTAAGATAAGTAAGTAAACCTGGGAGAGGTCCGCTGACATAAGAGAAATGTACTTGTGTTTGTATGCAGCTTTTCACATCCCATGTTTAGGTGGTCATGGGTTGCATGTTGAAAGTGAGCTACAGCTTTATTTAATGTCTAATAAAGACAGTTTCCTATAAGGCCATTTAAAAAAAAAAAGATTTTTAGCGTCCCCGCCTGCTTCCTTTTGGAGGGCCATCTGTTTGGTTTTTAAAAAACAAAACAAATTGTCCCTTTTTTTTTGTTTTTTTTTTTTTTAATGAAAAAACATGAAAAACATACTGCTAAAATGATCTTTTCCTAAAGTTAAAAAAAAATGCTGGCGGCCATCTTAAAAAATAGCCTGACTGTCAAGGAAAATGAATTTTTTTTTTTTTTAAGCCCCTCTCCTTCCTATTTTTCAAAAAGGCAGGACGCTATTTTTTTTTTGAGGGGGGGGGGCCTAAAGTGCTTAACCAGTTAATCAACCAAAGTGCCTACAGTATTCACCCTTTTAAAAGCACACACATTTGCGGCTGTCCCATAATCCTACTGGGTTCTCCTCGTGCACCTGGAGATGAGCAATGTAGATAAAAATGCCCTGCTCAATGAGACAAGTGTCTTGACAAGGTTTGAACCCATAAGCACCGGCTTATTTCCTCTCTTTCTTGAACCCTCTGCGTTCCAGATAACCAAGCTCCCAACATCACTTGCCCGGCCAACATTGTGAATGTAACCGACCCAGGTCTGGCCGTAGGCTCAGTGTCCTGGTCAGATGCTGTTGCCAGAGACAATACTGGATCTCTATCAGTTTCTCCAGACATTGCCAGTGGTTCCAACTTCACTGTTGGCGTGACAACAGTTACTTACAACACTACCGATCCATCAGGGAACCCAGCCACATGCTCTTTCACCGTCACAATCTCAGGTATGGAAAACATCACAAACAAAACTATACATATTCCGGAACTAACTGAAAAGAGGATGAGAAATTTGTGTGCAGAATAATAAATCCATATAAAAATTGAAAATGTTTATTGTTAAATGTGCCTGTAAGCATGTGAATCCATAGGAGCACTACTGAAAATACAGTATACAACATGTACATTTATAGATGAATGCTTTTCTGGATTGGATTTTTTTGTTTTTTGTTTGTTTATCAAAGCATTAATGTTCAGTACCAAGGCTGTTAATTGTTATTTTGAAGGCAATGGTTTTTTAATGTAAACTTATAACTTAAAATGAATTGCAAAGGTGGCGAATGGAAATGATGAACATTTCCAATTCTGTACACAGACATGGAGATTCCTGTCATCAGCAACTGCCCAGCCGACATCAATGTGACGACGGATGCCGGCAGTGATGCCAAGAGCAACGTGATGTGGACAGAACCAACTGCAACAGACAACACAATAACCGTGGCCCTGTCTGGGTCCGATAATCCGGGCATGTCGTTTATCCTCGGGGAACATCAAGTGACCTATACCGCTGCTGATCAGTTCAACAATGAGGACACCTGTGTTTTCACTATTAGAGTTACAGGTATGGACATTTTATCTTGACTCATTTCAGAGCTAAGTGCAAGCTTTTAAGAGGCAAGCTGTGTCTGTGATGGCCTCTGTAGGGTTGATTCCCACGGTCATGAAAAAACCGGGAAAGTCATGGGAAGTCATTGAAAATGGAGAGGGGACAAAAATTCGTGGAAACTGACCAGGAGGTCTTCAGAAACATGAAATAATCACTATGAATATGACTGACAAAGAAAGCGGACAAAATATACAGTTCCTCAGGTCGACAAAGGAACATCCCTTCACTGCTATTATGTAAAAATGTATAGAACAGGTGTCACATGCATATTCACCTTTTTACATAATAGCAGTGAAGGGATGTTCCTTTGACTACCTGAGGAACTGTATATTTTGTCCGCTTTCTTTGTCTGTATTGTTCATAGTGAATGTAGAGAGATGGCTTTAGAAGAGAGGAGTAGACGGCCAGGGGATGGAGCTCCTGGTGAAAGCTAGAAATAGAGAGTTGTGGAATAGCATGGTCGCCACAGTCAATGGATATGGCACTTAGAGAGAGAGAGAGGAACATTCTCTGTACCATAGCTTTAATACTTGGTAGAGAAGTTTTTTTTTTACATTTTACTTAAAGGCTCATGGTACATAAGTACATACATGTATTTCATTGCTTCTATTTTTTGATCTGTATCTCTCCCTTTCTATGTTTCTCTCTTTCTCTGTCTTCTCTCTATCTCTCTCTCTCTCTCTCTCTCTTTCTTCTCTATCTCTCTCCCTATCTATCTCTTCTCATCTCTCTCTCTCTCTCTCTTCTCTCTTATCTCTGATACTTTCTTCTATGCTGTCTCTATCTGTCTCAATTCACCTTTTTAACTTTTGTTTAATTATTCTCTTCACAATTTTCTGTCTTTTCTATCCTTTTCTCTGTTATGTCTTCCACAGATGTGGAGGACCCAGTATTGACCAATGTACCGCCCAGCGTAAACGTCTCCACCGATCCGGGCCAGGCAGGTGCCATCGTCTCACCGTCGCCTGCCACCGCCACGGACAATTCAGGGGCCGTCATGATATCATCGACGGCTCCCGCCGATTCATTCTTTCCTATTGGTGCAACCACTGTGGTCGTCACTGCAATGGATGCCTCTGGGAACCAGGTCAATGCCACCTATGTGGTGACTGTTCAAGGTAAAATAATGTTGGCTTATTTTTTTCATTTTTAGGGGTGTTAATTGCCATGAATGATTTTTGTTCTTTTCTTCTGAATCCAACATAAGTGAAATAAAGTTACTATTCTGAGCCCTGTCTTATAAACAGTTGCGAATAATTGCAACTTATTTGTAAGTGATATCAATCGCAACTATGTATGTAACTGATAGGAGACTGCAAACTTGATATTGAAAAGAGGGCTTGTGATTGATTTGGATCATTCGCCACTCTTTGTATTAAAGACAAGGTCCAGGAGTCTATCTAGATTATTTTATGTACTTTTATATATGAATAGAATAAACTGTGTATTCGCTGACATTGAATGAACAAGAAGTTCATTGTTATCCTTGGATTTAACCGTGTATGTTCAACAGTATTATATTAAAGAGAAAGGAACTAATTGGGAGTCTGTCCTAGATTGATCCATTAATAGTTTTACCCCATATTCATGGACATTGAATAGGCAGGAACAATACATGTTTTATGATCCATAATTGTCATAATTTTATGTGACGAAAATGAATGTGCTGAACATTTCTGTAAATACAAGTACAAAAATTGAAATTTTATTGTGCTAATTATACCAATATGAGGTTACACTGTACTTTCACATTTGAAATAGGTTTTGTTTAAAAAAATGATGGAATGATAATATTGAATAATCATATACATTCATTGAATTGTTGTTGAAACCAGACGATGAAGCCCCAACATTTGATCAGTGTCCTGTGAACCTACAAGTAGCTGCAGATCCAGGATCAACGAACACTACAGTAAACTGGACTGCCCCAGTCTTCATGGACAACTCTGGTAATGTCACCATCACTGAGAACTACGTTCCCCCGACTGTTCTCGATCTTGGATCTTATGTTGTCATGTACAATGCATCAGATGCTGCAGGAAATACCATCGCTTGCATGTTCACTGTTACTGTAGTGGGTGAGTTTGTATTTCATATCCTTTCATTAATTAGGTCCAAGCTCTGATGGTTTGCAGACCCGTGGTGAGACTCGGTTACTTGTCGAGAGACAAATTAGTGATCTAAATGGACAGGTGGTTTTTATGTAAAGGTTGCTTCAATACAAGTTCTAATGGGAAATCTCTAAAAAAAAAGGGAAATAGAAATTGTAACCCTTTTAAACTTGTGGTTTTAGTTTCCGATAGGTTGGTTTGTATTCAAAAGTCACAACTTTCCCCCTTCAATGATATCTTGCTCAGAAGTATAAAGTTTATACAATAAAATGGTTAATTACGTTATGACTACACGGGTTTTTATCAACCATTCTAAGAGTCATTATATAGGCGTGAAATGTTTTCCTGATGTCCTACTTGGCATACGTGTGGTCACCCTCAAAGATGTGTGGAATTTCTTATTTTGCGGCATCCATTTACTTCATTACGGTCAAGTGTGGTAAATGTTGATTAAGGTCCTGCCAAAATGCAATACATGTAAGAACCATGGCAGAGACATGAAGCATTCACCATGTCAACCATATCCACTAAACCATCAGTCAAATTAAACTGTCCTCGATGACGTTTAATATGCCGTTTCTGCATGCCCTTGTATTAATACAGACGAAGAAGCTGCAAACATTACCTGTCCATCGGACATGAGCGTCTCCATCCCTCCTGACCGTTCCTACGCGGTCGCCAATTGGTCCGATGCTGTGGCTGTGGATAACACAGGGCCACTGAACGTCACCTCGGACATTGCCAGTGGCTCCAACTTCACCCTTGGCATGGCAACGGTCACATACACTACCCAAGATGCTGCTGGAAACCCTGCATCCTGCTCGTTTGTAGTGAATGTCACTGGTGAGTCTGGCACTCCTCTCTTTCTCTCCCTCTCTCTCTCTCTCAAGCCCTCCTTTACTTTCTCTATCTCTCCCTTTCTCTCTCTTTCTCTCCCCCTCTCTCCTTCCCCCTCCTTCTCTCTAGGACCCTATTGACAATAAGCTTTTGAGATTTCATGGTTATTTTGTTATTATTTTATAAAATCACTTCACACTTTTTATTTATGTTACATTGAACTTGACTAATAAATCAAATTTCTCTCTCTCCTTCTCTCTCACTTTCTGTCTGTCTCTCTCTCTCTCTTTTTTTCTTTTTAAACATTTCAAGAAAACCATATTCCACAGTTAATAAAAGTTTTATTGTACTTGTGCTACACCACCACTATCACTTCATAGATAAAAACTAAACTGTTCAGAAGGAAAAAAAATGTTTTTGCTTCTACACCTTGGCACCTGCCACTGTACGTGTATTTCTGAGCACACCCTGCTGAAAAAGCCAAAAATAGTTTCAAATTTGGTTATTTAATGCTATATATATAATTATATATCAAATGTATTGTTAAGTAATGAAAGGATTGCTACCCTTTTCCTTGTATTTTTCTTGTCCTTGTATTTTCATTGTTTTTATGTCTGAATGAATTTTGTGTAGATTGACTAAGTGCTGCACATTAGAGAAAACGTTCTTTTGAAACCTCATAGTTTAAAGGCCAAGTCCACTCCGATTTTGCTCAAACTTTTTTTTGATTGGTTTGTCTGATTTTTCTGCTTATATTGAAAGTAAGTTATTTTTTAAATGGACTCGTCCTTTAATCTTAAACATTTGCTCTTCTCTCTCCAAAGACAACATTAGTCCAGTCTTTGACTCCTGCCCCAGCAACCCGACCTACGCGACACCGCCAGGGCAGGCTACCAGGGCGGTGGAATGGTTCGTGTCTGTGACGGACAACTCTGGTTGGGTATCCATCACAAGCACACACAACGTCAACGAATCCTTCCCCGTCGGCATGACTGAAGTCACCTACCAGGCGGTGGATGCCAGCGGCAACAGCGCCACGTGTGTCTTTAGCATCACCATAAATGGTAAGTCCGGTCTTGACCCATGTTGTCTTGATTGGACACTGAATGGATCTGCGGGACCAACTTGACCTTTAGCATTCAGTGTTTGAAAATGTATGTAGTCAGAGAATCATTGAGTTAATGGTTAATCAAACAGACCTACAAGTTAAGTCACAGGAAAAAATAAAACATACTCTTTGTTTTTTTTTGGTCAAGACTCTACATATATTTACTATTGAAATTACATTTAACAAGTTTTCCAATCATATTGTCTAATTTTTAAGCGAACATTGTTGCATAATACCAGACTCAACAATCCATCGACCCATGTTAATTTTAAGGAAAAAATTATGATTTTTTTTTTTTCTTTCCAAGCATACATGTATTATGTATGATATGAGAATTTTGGGAGGATATTAACTGCCTACAGCATGGACAATTTAAGGACCTTAAAAATACCTCATCCATTATTCCTGCAGATCAAGAGCCCCCCATGTTCCTCTACTGCCCAAGCTCTCTGTCACCAATCCTGGATTCTGGCAACTCCACCGAGATGGTCACCTGGTCAGACCCAGTGGTCAGTGACAATACAGTGAACTACATGCTCACGTCCAACTATAATCCAGGAGATATGTTTGCTCTGGGGTCTACGGTGGTGGAGTATGTAGCAGTTGATGACTCTGGCAACAATGCAACTTGTACCTTCACAGTCTCCGTCCGCGGTAAGTCATCACCCTTCTAACCCGTTGACTTCTGAATTCTCATATTCTCATAGGTGTAATACAGGGGCCACCAAGTTCCAGTGTAGGCAATGGGTTAAATTAGCTCAGAAGAAAGCAAGACAGTCTATGATACAGTATTGCTACTTTGTCCAACGGGGAGAGTGAGTGAGAAAGTATAGAGATGTACTGTACATGTCGCTATCATTGATGAAAAAAGGGTTGTATGCTGTCTTAAGAAGATGGTGATGTATTGTTTGACATGTGGTCCACGAGGGTTGAAGATTGTGGTCGAAATAGGTATCAGCGTCAGTATGGCAGAGATAGGATGGGGTTATGAAGGATCGTAAGCAAGGATCAACTTGAAATTTAGAAACTTTCCTTAGATCGGGAACTAGATGAATATAAACATGTCATTTAGTTGTTTTCATTGCACTATCAATAATAATCTATAGCCCCTAGCCCTAATTTGACATATGATTATTGAAAGATAAATATATATGTATACAGTAGGCTTGCGGTTGCACCATGTGAGAGAGAGGGAGGATTGGGAAGTCCTGAAAAGGATTCTCAATCTTTCTTTCTTGAGTGTGTGTAGTCCTGAAAAGGACTGTTGGTGTAGTCTTGAAAAAGAATGTTGGTTATCTTTTATCTTTCTTAGCTTATAGTTCTAAGGAGAACTATAGTATATATATACGTGTAAAGTTTACAGTCCTACCTACAATCGGTTACTGCAGTAGATGTGGGGAGAGAGCCCTTTTCGTATTAAAGGGATGACAATTTAATGTCACTCGTGTTTTGTATCGAACCATTCTAGACCTGGAGGATCCCGTCTTTACCGTCTGCAACACATCGGACGTCGTGCAGAATACAGATAATGGCATGCCGAACACGTCCGTCAGCTGGTCTGAACCTACAGCCACAGACAATACAGACAACGTCACCGTGACTGGAGACTACTCTCCAGGGGCTGTTTTCACCATCGGTACAACCTTGGTGACTTACACCACGGTGGATTCCTCCAGTAATATGGCCATGTGCTCCTTCAATGTGATTGTCATCGGTAAGTTTTTTTAACAATTATTTCTAATGGCTGATCGTACATTGTCATATCCATCCTGTTCCTCTTTAACCCTTCCCTCAGATGCCTAGCAGTGACGTATCTTCCCCTTTGTTCTTTCATTCTGTCATTACCATTACCTCTCCCACTCTCTCTCTCTGTCTCTGTTCTATCTTAATTAAATGTCCTCTCTTTTTTCAAATTATACCTATTCAGATTTCATCTATTTCGTATGTTTTGGTAGAGTTTAAACTTCATTGTATTGTGTACATATAAGCTATACCAGATATTATTCTCTATATAGGCATTTCCATGCTATTTCCGTATTCCACTAATTTGGTTAAACCTGGCCCTGTGTGAAAACACAGACCTCGGACTAAATTCCCTTGTTATACCCAATTCTGAACAAAAGCCTAAACCCAGTATCATGTTTAAATGTTTATAGAATACGAACCACAGAGTGGAAAGCAGTAAAACAAGGATTGTATACATATATCAGATCAAGTAAACTGATAAAAACCTTACACACTTTTCCCCATCTTTCACCATCTGCAAATTCATCCATCTCTTGCCTACACATTCTGCATTGTATATCATATTGCCTCTGTTTTGAAAATGCCATCAGATGCTGAGCTTCCAGACATCCAGAACTGTCCTGCGAACCTGACCGTGTCCACCGACCTGGGCTCCAACCAGGCCACCAACGTGACGTGGACCGAGCCCTCCGCCTCCGATAACTCCGGTTCAGTTGGCTTTGTGGGCTCCAAGAATTCAGGCGCTATGTTCCCCTTTGGCTCCTCCCCTGTGTATTACATGGCGGTAGACGCCTCAGGAAATGAAGCAGAGTGCAGTTTCTACGTATCAGTTGAAGGTAAGCTGCTTCAGTCTTGGAAGTGCCTAGCCATGTCTCTTGATACCCCGCTATATGCGTTTGGTCATTCTTTTCAGTAGAAGCATGTACTAGCATTTAGCGGATGATCATGGTGAGACAAGTGTATTTGATCCAGAATGCTATCGTTTGTTGTCATTGAGTTGCTAAATTCTTCTTATTACGTGCAATACATTTAAAGGAATTGTATTCGTATATGGTCATGAAAGATACTGAGATTTTGTTGTCAAGAAGAGATTAGTTTTATCCGTAGTAATCACTTGATATTCTTGATCTGATATTCTTGATTGCTTTTTTTCCAGACAACGAGGATCCAATGATAACCTGCCCATTCTCCATCTCTTCTGGAACCACACCTTCCCTGAACACCTCCGTGGTGTGGTGGACGGTGCCAACAGCCACCGACAACACCGGTGTTGCTTCAGTGGTGTCCGATTACACCCCGGGACAGATGTTCCCCGTTGGAAACACGCTGGTCACCTACAACGCCACCGACTTGGGTGGAAATGTTGCCGTGTGCTCCTTCTATGTCAATGTCACAGGTATGCATATTTATTACTGGTAGAAACAGTCTGGATTTCCTTTGGTTATTAAGTCAAGAGAAAACTTCATTTGCAAAGACTGAAATTCCCTGGAAATCACAGTGCAGGCCAACAAATATTAGGATGTAGAGGTGTCGTGGTCGAGTGGATACGTCGCCGGACTGTCGATCGCAAGGTCCGCGGTTCGAGTCCCGCCGCGGCACTAATGTCCTTTGGCAAGACATTGATCTACATTTGCCACACTCAACCCAGGTGATGTAGATGGGTACCTGGCAGGAATTAATTCCTTGAAATGCTGGAGCGCTGTATAAACGGCTGCTAGGCTAAAGCCGGGGTAATAATAAATGTGCCTCGGAATAGAATTATCTAGATAGATGGCGCTATAGAAATGCCTATTATTATTATTATTATTGCTCCGACGTAACAAATATTTTGATTGGAGGGGTAATGATTCTCTGCATAAGCAGTGATTGAAAAATGCATTGAAAAGGAGATGAAGATCATAAAAGTAGACTTTATTCTGTAGAGCATATGATGTTATTCTATAAAAGTTGGAAACCAAGTCGTTGCGGTAGTGGCCTTTGGTATGCCATTACGACTCGGTACCTTGATTTTAAAGAGTGTAAAGCCATAGGTTCTTGGTTACCTACAAGCATATACCTGCTCTCCTTGATGTTGGGTGAAATAAATTGATTTCACATTGTTTGTTTCGCACCATGCTTCCTCCACACAGATGATATGATACCATCAGTGCTCACCTGCCCAATCGATTTCAGCCAAACGGCCGATAACGGACTCACCAACACCACCGTGACATGGGCTGTTCCAACATTCAGCGACAATGACGGCAATGTGATGGTGTCTGCAAACTACAAATCACCATCTGTCCTGTCCATTGGAGTCTGGACCGTCATGTACAATGCAACAGATCTGTCTGGCAATGTGGCACAGTGCGTGTTTGTGATAACAGTGACAGGTATATTTTTCCTACTACTTCTTTTCTACTTTCACATTATTGTTGTTTGCTGTTGCTTACGTACGGTGGACCACTTAACAAACTGCATTCAACAGATGTTTCATTTATAGAGGAAACATATATGATGAACTAGCTAATTTGCATGTTATGCAGAGTATCATCTCTGTGGATGGAAAATCCACCTTACACACATCAGCTGTTGCTACAGTAGGCAAACTTGGGCAAGATCTGAATAAAGAGCACTATTTAATATGGAAAATTGGGCTTTAAAAAAAATCAATACAGTGTCATACTACATTAATTGTGCCTTGATATCTTTTCAATCAGCTTTGTTTGATAGTGGGAAAATGCATTGACCTATGTGATACAAGAGAGATCTTCCCATTGCATGTTAGATGCAAGTGGTATAAATTTAGAGGAAAAGAAAGGGGGAGAATGATTGTATTCTATGATTTCACACACACATTAGGTAACATTTTACCTGTAACTGTATGCTTTGGTATGTACAAATAATGTTATATTTTGTTTTTATCCCATCTTACAGACGACGAAGCCCCTACCATCACTTGCCCAACCGACATTGTGAATGTAAGTGATCCTGGTCTGGATGTAGCCTCAGTGTCCTGGGCGGATGCTGTAGCCACAGACAATACTGGAAATCTAAGGGTCTCTTCAGACATCGTCAGTGGTTCTAACTTCACTGTTGGTCTCACAACTGTTACATACTCTACTACCGACCCATCAGGGAACCCAGCCTCTTGCTCTTTCACCGTCGAGATCTCGGGTAAGGGAATTGTCAATACATGAGATGATGTCGATAATACATTGCTCTTGAAAATACAGTAAGAGTTTTACCAAAAACTATTAAAGATTGGCATAAAGCAGGTGAGTATGACAGGATATTTGTATGAAAATATTAACATGGCGAAGAAATACCTAAACAATTACAAAAAGCAGTCATAAAGTATCATAGATACATTATTCTATTCACAAAGTGTATTTCCAGGTGCTGCATACTTTGATATAGGTGTACTTACTCAATAGCAGCAAAGATCCACACAACAGCCCCCCCCCCCTCGCCCCTCCCATGCAAAAGCACTTGCGGACACAGTCACCAATCTAGGGATATGATGCAAGTAGAATGATTTTTCCTAAACAACAAGACTAGGGTTAAATATTCATTTTGATTAGACACCAGACATAATCAACAGCATTGGGTAGATAGTCAAATTAAAAAGATTATATGGAGCCAGTAAAAATGCCTTATCCATAATTTCTTAGGAAGAGCCTTCTAAATTTTGTTTAACTTGTAAAGCTCATTTGAACCTTTCATGCCTATGTTAATACAGGGCCATACCCTATCTTGTAATAATTGAAAATTGAAGAATTCAGAAATGCATTTCATTTCCCCTACTTTGCTTGTCTCCAGACGAGGAACTGCCCAGCATTTCAGGCTGTCCCAGCAACATCACCCAGTCAGCCGACCCTGGATCAGTGACAACAAGTGTGAACTGGACCGTGCCAGTCTTCACTGACAATGCAGGGTTTGTCTCTGTGGTGGATTCACACCAACCCCTGAATATCTTCTACGTTGGGACCGCAGAGGTGTCCTATACAGGAGTAGACCCTCAGGGAAATGAGGACTCCTGTATCTTCCAGGTCACAGTTGTAGGTGAGTTATCGTACCACTACATGATGATACATATATGGGATACTTTTAAAACGCACATAACCACCACGCAAGATGTGGAAGGCGCCCCTGGCTCTGCTAGTCTACCGATTTTGGCGCTTCCAGCATTCAAGAAACTGGTACCCATTTGCCATAGTGGGACTCTAACTGCTAACCATGTCTGAAGATGTATCCACTTGACCACGACACCTTCACATGTACATTCAAGGCAATCTTTATTGCTTACCTATAGCTTTTACTGTACCAGAGAATGTTATATAAAGCAGTACCGGTAAATCAAACTGGAATAATACCTCTACATACAGACTTTGTAAGTCCCTCTTGCGTTCATAACTTATACATAACATTCCATAGGAAATTATAAGATTCTCTGAGGATACATATACCTGTAGCTGTTGTGTTTTTGCATATATAGGAGCTAACTGCCCCCCAAGTAGTTCAGAAAATAAGACATTGTTGGCTGAAATTACCAGTGCACATTAAATCATTCCTTATCAATAATTCCCACAAATAGAATATATTAGGCTAGATTTTTTATCTAAAATAGTTATGTGAAAAATATTCATACTCCAATCTATTCTTCTCATCCAGACATGGAGCTTCCTGTCTTCATCAACTGCCCGTCCAACATGAGTGTTACCACGGACCCTGAAACTGCTTTGGCCGAAGTCAGCTGGCCGACGGTACTGGCTACCGATAATGCAGGTACCCCTCTCATCACCACTGACTTCTCGGGATCCAATTTCTCCATCGGAGTTCAGACTGTGTCTTACAATGCAACGGATGATGCAGGAAACATAGCCCAGTGCACGTTTGATATCACAGTCACAGGTAAGCTTTCCCCATGTATAGGACAGAGATCATTTTAGAGTTATAGATATAGTGTGGCAGAATGTACTTGTAATTTCTCATATACAGTCTCACTTCTACTTCAGACCACTAATACTATTTACTTCTACATATCTACATTCTATATTGACAGATGATCAGCCTCCTACCTACGTTGGCTGTCCTTCTGACATCACTGTAGCTGCAGATGTCGGTTCGGTCAATGCCAGGGTTAAATGGACAGTGCCTTCAGCCATGGACAACGTCGATACATCAGCCCTTCAGCTATACGCCAACTATGAACCTCCAACTGTGCTAGCCGTTGGATCATACATAGTCAACTACACTGCTGTGGATGTTGATGGACTCGTTGGAGAATGTGTTTTTACAGTCACAGTCACTGGTGAGTTTCCTACATCTTCATGTACATTGCCATGTATTATTATGAAGCATCCATTGCATGTCTGATGGTGCATTAATTGCCGCGATATTCGAATACTGAGCTGTTTACATGTATATTTTAAAAGGATGCTAGTTTTCAGGCCATATCCTTACTCCAGGCTCTGACATTTCTAGTTTTTTTAAAGATTTTTCAGGCTTTAGATTGTGCAGTAAAAATGAGGTTCTAACTTGTCTGTGTCTCTTTTCAGGGAAAACTAACTGGTATCCCTATTTAAGTTTCGGCATTATTCAAATGGAAGTAAAGGAATTACCCTTTAGTTGAAGTGAAGCAACAGCTTCAGTCTCATGGTATGGGCTTAGCAATTGATAGTATGATCAATTACTCAATCGTATGATCAATATTTTGAAATTAATTGCACATAGGTACCAATTACAAGAGAGAAGTCAATCGTTAATTTCGTCTATCAGTGTGTTGAAACAGTTATCAGTCATCAAACTGAGTACCGGAATATAATTGTCTTTATCCTGCAGATGGCGAAGCTCCGGTCATCACTTGCCCGGCCAACATTGTGAATGTAACCGACCCAGGTCTGGCCGTAGCCTCAGTGTCCTGGTCAGATGCTGTAGCAGCAGACAACACTGGATCTCTATCAGTTTCTTCCGACATTGTCAGTGGCTCCAACTTCACTGTTGGCGTGACAACGGTTACTTACAACACTACCGATCCATCAGGGAACCCATCCACATGCTCTTTCACTGTTACAATCTCGGGTAAGATGCACATTATTTATTCGTGGAATGAGAATCACTTGCAAGTACAAGGATTTGTGGAGTTTTGGCTGAAATGAATAGATTGTCTATGAAAAAATGGAGGCAGGGAGAAAGTATAGATATCAGATATATACATAGCTGATGAAAGGATGCCATGCTCGGTGCTAAATACTGATTTTTTTTTTTGTGTGGACTTTGTTAGTTTTCTAGTAATCTTGCGCTTTAGGAAAATGTGAAGCGAGACTTTATCGTTGTACGCGTATGAATGGCAACCTGTCTAGTGGTCACCTAAATTGTCTTTCTTTTAAAAACAAATGTGTTATACATGTAGAACCTGTCTAGAAAGGCCACCCTTCTACATTACCTGATTACCCACTGTCCTCTGTGATGTGATGGTCTTTCTAGATGGGTTCAATTGTATTTTCTGTGCACTATAATCACATTATCTCTCCCTTGTAATACCTGACACAGACGAGGAGAAGCCTATGCTGTTGAACTGTCCGTCGGACATCACCTACAACATCACAGACTCCAGCACACAGGCCAACGTGACCTGGCCAGCCCCAATGATCTCGGACAACACGGACATGGTCATCACGGTCATCTCCACCCATCCAGGCTCCCTCTTCAACTTTGGTGACACAACTGTTGTTTACACTGTGCAGGACCTGTCTGGCAACTCTATCTCCTGCTCATTTGTAGTGTCTGTTGACGGTGAGCTTTTACAAAAAAAAATTGGGATGGTTTGAGAATATGAAATTAAAATAAAATTGATGTTGGTGGCAATTAATCAGCAATTTTGAAAGGCTTCATACTCTGGCATATTGTCACTGTCAAAGAAATATATGTTCAACGCACAATTCTGAACATTAATAGCAATTTAACACTGCCCATGAATTTAGGAAGGACCATCTGCGGATTAGGGTATATATTACAAATATATTACGTGCCAAGTGTAGGTTGTTCAAACTGTATATAACTATATTGAACTTCAGGGCCCTAGTATTGATTTTGAATTCTCATGTACAGTTTGAAAGGAGACGCAATGGCGCAGTGGTAGGTGGTGGTCATGTAACCGGGAGGTCCCGGGTTAAAAAACCAGTCTATGTACTGGTGCCCTTTGGTAAGGCATTAATTTATCCTCATTACCAAGTCCCTCGGAGAGGAATTAAAACCGTGGGTCCCCTGGTTGCTTACTTACAAGCATACACATGCTTTCTTTAATAGCAGTCAGTTAAAAACAATCGAACCAAAAAATTAATTTTAATCTTTCACATTCTCTTTTGCATTCTCTTCCTACAGATATGACACCTCCAGTGATTGAGGGCTGTCCATCCAGTATCAACACAACAACGGATGCAGCTTCTCCTACAGCCATGGTAACCTTCCAATCCCCTAACATCACCGACAATCAAGGTACACCTACGGTTATGCTGAACAAACAGTCTGGCTCTGAATTCCCAGTGGGGGATACGGTCATCACATACACTGCAACTGACACCTTCGGCAATGTGGTTCCTGCAGCTTTACTGTAACAGTAAATGGTAAGCCCTTGGTCGAAAGTTCTTTACACGAGTCTTTTAGATATAACTTTATATGTTTGTTTTTTTCTGTGGGATATTAAGCACTTCCATATTATGTAGTAAGGGTAAATCAGGAAAAATATGGCATAAAGATGTACTTTGTATGTTTTTTCTTTGCCTGTACCACGCACCTGTGTTAGAATAGGTAGGTTACAAGAATCTGTTCAAAATAAACTGAGGTGGCCTTTTGTTTATTGTGAAGCGAGCTGCTTAATGAAGGCATGGGCTTAGTAGGTTCATGATGAAGGCATGTATAAGGATTTGTCACTATCCTCCTTGTATAATTCAGGTTTGTAATAGCAAATGAGTGACCGAGAGGTAGAGCAGAGAGAGAGAGAGAGGAAAAAAATTGCTTTACAAAGTGTGACATGTAGAATTAGAGATAAGGAGTTTTATTAGGAAATGTAGTTTGAAGATGTAGTTTGAAGATATGATAATAATTATATTTGCTTATATAGTGCCTAACACTATAATAATGCAGCATAATTACCCTGACTTTAGCAGAGCAGCAACTTGTTTCCAATTACTGGTAGTAGCCCAGTGAGGAATAGTGCATAATTTGTCGCTGTTTTCACGAAGTGACGGTAGTGAAAAAAAAATTGCATTCACTTTGCGTGACGATTTTCCTCACTACCGTCACTTTGTGAAAACAAGGACGAATTGTAGAAAAAGTAGTTTTATGACGTCCAACGTATCCTTTTTTTTCTTCAGATGAGGAATCGCCCGTATACGTGGGCTGTCCTTTCAACGTAAGTGTACCCACTGACAATGGGACAGCTAGTGCTGTTGTCAACTGGACGGAGCCTGCCGTGTCGGATAACACGGTAGCAGTGATTTCAGCCCCTGATAGCCCATCAGGGAGCACCTTCAACCTGGGCGATTCGCTGGTCACCTATATGGCACAGGACGCTTATGGCAATGCAGCTACCTGCCTTATCAATATCAATGTTTATGGTGAGTTGAATGGTGGTGGTTATTTTACCTGACTGCTAATAAAGCATAAATGCTTTTAAGTATAAGCAACCAGACGGCCGACGGCTTTAGGTCTTCTCCGAGGGACCTGGTAATGAGAATTAATGCCTTACCAAAGGGCACTAGCGCATCGTCTTGGTTTCAAACTTGGGTCACCGGATTACGAGACCACTGCTCTACCGACTGAGCTATCGCAGGGTTGATGGATCAGGCGGTAAACTATGACTTTAATATGCTCCATTGCAAAATGTTCTTTGGTCATTTTCCTACATTGACCATAATCCTAACTTTAACCTTATACTAAATGCAATTGTTCCCGCAGCAAATTTCTGATCAGTGAGCATCTCCAGTCCTCTTCACGTGAAGTATGTGGTTTGATGGAAGTAGTGTGAGAATACCGGATAATTTTTGTTATCGAAATATAAGAAAGATCGCACTTCAAAAGGTGTAGTCCTGAAAATGAATTACAGGAGAATTTAAGAGTGATAAACACGAGTATTGTCTCCGCAAGGAACTACGGAAGAATTCACTCACTGAAAGCTTGTGATTCATTGTTGCCTACTCTTGTTCTTGTCAAGAAATGGCCTTGGTAACCACCAGAATTCCTCTTGCCCAACAGATAACGAAACCCCAAGCCTGCAGGGCTGTAATTTTGGTGACATCTCCCAGCCAACCGATGCAGCAAGCGACCAAGCGGTCGTGAACTGGACCCCGCCAGTGGGCCTCGACAATGCAGGTGCCCCGACTGTATCATCCAATTATAACCCTGGAATGGCTTTCCCAGTGGGTGTCACTACTGTGACCTATACAGCCACTGATGCTGCTGGGCTGACTTCCATGTGCTCTTTCAACATCTCAGTATCTGGTAAGCTTTCTGGCCATAAGGGCCTTGTTATCATAGTTTGTTAGTAAAAATGAAGGAATCTTTTATTATTTGTATGCTACCCTTCGTGTAAACTTTTCTCAATCCTTTCATGTGATTTTATTCTGTTTTTGTTTAACAAATCATGATAAAAAAATGGTATAAAACGATAAACAATAAATAATACACTTGTGAGTGTATGTAAACAGAGCATATTTTGATAGTAAAAGGAAAAATGAAATGAAACGACATGTCATGTGGTGAACATTCTTTTAGGATTTTTTTTTTAACAGATGGGTGATGGTATAAATGTCCTCATCTCAGCTAGGTTCCATAAAATTCTTTCTGCACTTCAGTTATTGCGAAAATGTTGTCCAACATCAAGACATTTGCATGTTGTGTTTCCTATTTTGCAGACTCAGAGCCCCCGATGTACTCTTCTTGCCCTAATGAACAAAGTGGTTACACAAGTATAAACGAGACCACATTTGGAGTGTCATGGTCCATTCCTGCAGCCACTGACAACGTAGGAGTGGTCTTGATGAACCAGACACACGTGTCTGGTTATGCCTTTTCTCTAGGCGTCACTACTGTAGTGAACACTGCATATGATGCAGCTGGAAACAAAGCAGAGTGCAGCTTCAACGTCACAATCTCTGGTTAGTCGAAGAGAAAGCGTATATCTCACATTTGTTTTAATCCATAGAGTTATGTATCACAAATGTAATTCTGAAAGTTTTCAATAACTTTGCCCCTTTTAATTTGCTTTTTGAATTAATTTTGTTAGTAGTTCAATTCAATTCATTTATTCACTCAATATATATAAACCGATAGTTCACATAAAATTGGGTATGAACGCATGTGACAAATACAATTAGATGGACAGATTTTAGATTAGCAGGCAATGCATTCCATAGTTAGGAACCTGCATAGTAAATGGTTTTTTGAGAAACTGATGTTCTTGCGTATTGAATGTGAAAATCTGCATTTGATCGAGTACAATAGGAGTGCATGGGTTGCAGAGTTAATAGAAAAATAAAGTGTTAGGGATAATGGCAAGATCGGTCTCTGACAAGAAAACATAACTTGTCTTAATTTATACAAATCAAATACATTCAAAAGTTCAAATTGAGTAAATAAAAGTTTGGCGGAGGCAAGGAAAGGCATTTTACGAATTATTCTCACTGTTCTTTTTTGAGAAGCTGAGGCCCAAACAATATTGCAATATGTAAGAAAAGGATAAATTAGTTTCAGAATGTACTCTTGTTTGATTAAATTTGTCCGTGGTATTTAACTTCGCAGTACATACTATGTTGATAATTTCAGATTTCACAGTTTTCAGAAAGAAAATTCACAATTGACCACCAAAATTTGTTATACTGCAATACTATTGATCAACATGTCATCGCCTACTTCTTATTTTCTTCTCTTCTCCTACTACTTTGTCTTCTTCTTCTTCTTCTTCTACTTCTTCTTCAAATTCTCCTTCTTCGTCTTCTTCTTTTATGAACCATCAGCTAAGTGACATAAATACTCCAAATGCTCTAAATGCGATTGATCATCACTCTGAAAATGCTATGCTTTGATTGTTCATGCAGATAATATTCAACCAACAATATCTGGATGCCCCTCATCCATCGAGGTCAACGCACCCTCGACCCTGAATGGCTCAGTAGTGACCTGGACTCCGATCATAGCCACGGATGCGTTTGGTATCGCCTCGCAGAATTCCACCCACATCAACGGCTCCTTCTTCAACATCGGAAGCGTCAGTGTGGTTTACTCTTTCGTTGATACTAATGGAAACGAAGCAACATGCACTTTTGCTGTAACCGTGCTCGGTGAGTGTCATGAAACTTTCTGTTGTGCCCCATATAGGTCCAAGTCTACAATTCTTTCCTTGGTGTATCGATCCTGTGGTCAAAACTCCTCTTTTTCTCTTTTGCTACATACAGGTTTCCTTTAAACTCCAAAATAAACTCCCTAGCTGGAGTAAAACCCGCAGTATACCACACCAATCATATTAGGGTTAAAGTTAACATTAGAGTACTTAATTGTCATGGTGTATATTCTGCAACTCCAAATCTTATACCATGACTTCTACAGTATAAGATTAGCCTCTGTTTTACATGATTCTCCCTCTGCTTTGCTCTATCAGATGTCACCAGGCCAGTTGCAAGTGGATGTCCATCCAACACCACCGTCGAGCCTGACCTTGGATCACTCAATGCTACCGTAAACTTGACAGCACCTGTTTTCACTGACAACTCTGGTAATTTCTCGCTCAACAGCGGGCCAGCACCTTCTGTCTTTGAACTGGGTACAACCTTGGTTCTGTACCAGGCTACTGATGACGCTGGCAATATCGGTTCATGTGGTGTCTATGTTACTGTGCTAGGTAAGTTGTACACATTTCCCCCTTGTAATTTTGTCATGGATGGAGACATTGATTGCATTAAAGAATGTTTGAAGGTTAAAATTGGTAGGATTCACCTTTATTGTTCTCTCTCCTTGAATGTCATTGTTTCTGTCACCCTGTATTTCTGGCTGTCCATCTCTCTCTGTCCATCTCTCTCTGTCCATCTCTCTCTGTCTCTCTTTCTGTCTCTTGTACATTACCTCCTTGCATCCCAACTTGATATCTACTTGGAGTAGCACTTGCAAATGATCGAAAAAGGAACAGGAATTTTAACACAAAAGTATTTTTAATCATTTCATTGTATTATCTTATTGTTTAATACTAGAAGCATAAGGAGACCTGACACATTTCTTTTTTTCTCTCTCTCTCTCTCTCCCTCACCCATCCCAGACACTGTCCCACCCGTGCTGACTGGATGCCCAAGCAACATGAACGTGACAACCGATCCAGGCAACTCTACCGCCAGCGTATCATGGTCGGCACCAGTGGCAACCGACAACAGCATTGAACCCTCGCTTAACGTGACCAAGGATTCCGGAAGCCTGTTCGACATCGGAGACACCTTGGTCTCCTACTTTGCTACAGACCCGGCCGGACTAGTTGCACAATGCACATTCACTGTCACTGTCAGAGGTAAGGGTCTAGTATATTGTCCGTTGAGAACCAAAAGGGTGTAAACCTGGGGGGCTGATTTAGCCCCCCCCCCCCTCCTCTATTTTCACGATTAATTTGTAATGCTTAAATATTTTACGGTGCCACTTCATGACTTTTTCTCAAGTCTTGCGCCTGTTTTGTTACCAATTTTTTTAATTTTAATTAAATTCTTCCATACATATTGAAGTGGACGTTAAATCTATAGACATCATATTTTTACCTTGCTGATGATTTGATGTTTTGATTAGCTTGTAGTGAGCATGTGCACTACTATTGTTCAGATACGTGGAAGTTGTAAAGAAATGAATAGATGATTGACACAAAGGTACTATGTCCCATTTGCAGGCCAAAAAAATGAAAAAGTTAAATTCCAACTGCATTTGAAAGATAATACTAATTTAGAACTTCCCTAAAAAAGGAGGGGCTTGAAAATGTCTTCAAGTGGGAAAATAACGACTATTAGTTGTTAAATCGACTTTCGGGCTATAGAGCCCAAAAGTAATAGTCTTGATTTTCAGACAATTGTACCGAATGGTCATACGTTTTATGCTGAGCAAAGATTCAATCAGTTTATTCTTGGCCATCACAAGAAGTGGGTTATTGATGTAGACAAATGCTCATGTACCCTTTACAACTCTTTTTATGTATGTTATTACCAAAGAAGAAAAAAAGCCAGTCAGTCACTCAGTAGTGTCTGACAGTGAAGTCCAGCAAGTAAACGGGTTTCCTTGCATAATTTGAATATGAGGACACTGCTAACGTTTAAATTTCACAGATAGGACATACATGACATATTCATAATTCCTGCAAAGTTCTACAGAATTTGAGGTTGGCTGCAAAAGGGACATAGTACCTTTAATAACCCGGTTGCTTGAATATTCTTCATCTGATGTGCACATTCCCTTGTGTGATTCTCATTGTCGTTTTCCATTCTCACTCATCTTTCCACTTAAAACTTATGATATATAATTGGTGCCGACTTCAAATAAATGTACATGTATTCTCATTCTCTCCACCCACCTTCCATTTTCTCTCCCAGATGAGGAGCTTCCCGTCTTCACCGACTGTCCTACCGGCATCAACCTGACCCTTCCGGCCGATGCCAGCATGGTCAACGCGACCTGGTCAGAGCCTACTGCAACGGACAACAGCCTGAGCGTGATGACCTCCTCCAGCATGCCACTGTACACGGTCCTAGCTACTGGCGCGTTAACGGTCACGTACACCGCAGTGGATCCATCAGGAAACAAGGCCCAATGCAGTTTCACACTTTCAGTGTTTGGTAAGTGTTCACACTTTCTTGATGACATTGCTGCAATTGAGGTCTAGATCATATTCTTCCATTTGGAAATAGAGCCCATTGCAGTTAATGCTTTTTAGCATTTGGTTAATTTTCATTCTTTTTGAAGTTGTGCGAGTCCATCCGAAAATATGATTTCTGAAAAAGGAAAAAATATATAAGTCGTGGTATCTTCCAGGCCTTTCAGAAGTGACTGAATTTCTTTGATTTGAAGCTTTCCTGTACAATGTCTGAACAAGTAGATAATATATCATCCACATGCACGCTGCGTGTCACAAACAGTAGTGATCACTACTCTCTATGTAGACAATACTGTACCTGTCATGCTGAGCAATTGCTGGTGGAACATGTTTCATGGAACCCTCTCGTTTTTGTTCACACATACATACATACATACCATAAGT